GCAGACCTGGTCGGTCCAGCCGTCGAAGCGAGATCGTAGACGAAGCATCCAGCTCTCGACGGTCTTCGCATTCGAATACTCCTCTGGATCGTCCCATGGATCGTTCAATGGAAAGGCCCAGTGACCGTGTTGAAAGAGATCGTGAACGCCGAGCTGGCGAAGAGAGTTCAAGAACCAGAGACACCAAAAAGGATGACCGCCGGGAACGACCACGAGAGCGCGATCGTGACCGTGATAGAGGCCGGGTTGATGAAGGTGCCGAACGTGATGACGCCAGGGCTTCCCGAGACTCCTCTACCCGTCGCAGCGTTCACAGCTCAGGCGGTAACACTGCCGAGGTGACACCAACTACCAACCGCCGGAGAGACAGACGCGAACGTGATGATGGACGTGGCTCTGGAAGCGGTGGCGGCAGCAGTGGTGCTGCTGGTAAAGGGATTCCACTACCTCCACCGCCTCCTCCACTGCCAGGAGATAGGCCTCTTGACAGATGGGGTGGTGCCGGCCCTGGCCGAAGTGATGATAGGCCCCGAGATCGTGGCGATCGCGACCGTGAGAGAGGAGGAGGAGGAGGAGGAGATCGAGACAAAGAGCGAGATCGCAGCGATAGGGGCCGAGATCGTGACAGGGACCGCGGACGGGACAGGAGAGACGGTCCAAATGTAGGGCCAGATGGGCGCGGACCGCCTCTAACCCCTACCGGCGGCCTAGGGGGCGGTGCTGGCAATACCGGCCACAACACCTGGCCTCGTAAAAGAGGCAGACCACACGGAATGGGAGGAGACGAAACCCATGAACATTCGCCAAACATGGGCGGTCCTATGAGACCGGGTCCAGGAAGTGACATGAAGCGGCAGAGACGCTGACGATATATTGATTGATTAAAGCAAAAACATGAACCAATCCACCCACCATTAACTACCACCTTCACCTTAAAGCCTGATGACCACTCTACATTTTCTTTTTCTTTTTCCTTTTTTTTTTTCCTCCATTCCCGACATCACTACTCTACTGTTCCATTGCATTTATTTCCTTTTCTTCTTCCTGTTCTTTTTTCATGTGTGTTGATAGCTGGGAAAACGGATAACTTAGGGGGCCATGCATTTCATCCAAAGAGTTTGTTTAACTAGTCAGTACCCTTTTCTACCTGTAGTCAGGAAATCGCGCTCTTAAGCTGTGAGCTAGATAGTCAGTGCAAAGATCAAATTCTTGATTATCATTTGGCTAAAATTCTTAAGATGGTCCAACCTCGAGCTCTATAGAATTATTCAACCGGACTTCACAGCTTGTACCTAAGAAAAAGAGCCTAACTAGGACTTTGGATATACAATATCTAACATATATATAGACGTTATATCACATTACTCCCCCTGTTTGGCAGATTTGGCATTGCATTCGAAGAATCTGTTACTCCGTAGTCACCTTCACTATTTTAATACTCTACGAACCGCTTAATGACTGATAATTAAAATCGGCTGAACCAACGTCTATACGACTGTCCAGTACAACAAATGGTAGATTGATCCTACTAACATTGGAGTAATTAATTGTGGCGGATAAGCTGCATCTAACGAGAAGTTAAGTCGTTTCCTGGGCCTTGCCAACCGGGACGGCTTCTCTGAAAAGGGCTTTTAAACCCTCTTCTACTTATTGAGTAGAAGTAGAGGCCTCTACTCTACCTGTTAAGGGTAAATGAGATAAAATCTATAGAATATATATACTCATCTTACCTTTGGTGCATGTTTCAATAGACATTTTTCATGACCCTGGACTGTCTTTACCTAGCTACTGCAATCAGCCTGGTATACCACGCACGTCCTTCACCTTCTATTCATCTGTCTTTTCTCTGAGTCCTCTCTCCATGCCTATATATCTAAATTTAAGCCTGTCGTTGTGACGTGTTATGCGAGGCTGAATATTAAACTTCCACCCTCGGCCAACCACCAACTGTCAATCCAAGCGAAGGGAAGATGTCGAATGACTTTCATCGTATTTGGGCATGATTGCTATGTAAGACCCCCGCATTTTCGATGCCAGGATGATAATGCAGGTCGTATTCATAATTAGTTACAGAGTCAGGAACTCAAGTTCATTAGCTTAGAAAACGTGGGAGAAAAATGCAACCGTGCGCATAGGACGAGCAGAAGAAACCAAAAACCCTGTAGTGACAGATGCATCGTAGACAAGAAACGGCAGGATATAAGGGAGAGAGACATTTAGGGGGGGGGGGGGGTATACGGAACGAAAAACCGAAGCGGAGAGAAGGGAAGAGACGGCCGAGTGTCCTGACCAAGGGGTGTGTCTCTGGAATGCCTTATTAAAACCAAGTAGATGTATCAGAATAAAAAAAAAATGTAGCAACGCCAGGCTGGAGACGCAGTGGTGAGAAAACGCTAAAGAGGCTGTGCAGATAATAAGCAGGACGGAGAGGGAGAGGCCGCTGTGATGGTGGTGTGGACGATGGAAGGGACATCTCCGAGTGGGCGTATACGGGTTGAGGGTGGGTATAAAGTCCGTATATCGCGCGTAAAAGGGAGAGAGGAGAAGCGGTGTTCAGGTAGCCTCAACCACCATGCCCAAGCCCATATTTCTTCGGTTGGTGCTTGATGCTTTCTTTTTATTGAATCCGAACTTGGAAAGCTTCTTGACAAAAGTCTGCACTCGTGACAGCTGGCTGGCAGTAGTCGCAGCACTCGCAGAAGTGGCCGGCGGAGTGGAGGTACTTGTCGCGGCGGTGATATCGCTGGACGTGCTGGCAGTGGTCACTGTGGTTGCTGAGGTATTGGTGGCATCCGTAGAAGAGTTTGAGGAGCTCGACGAAGACCTCTCGTCGGAGGCCTGTGTTGCTACTGGCACCAATCCCATGCTCTGGCTGATAGGACCGGGCGTGCTTTCAGCATGTTGGCGAATATCCGTTTCTGTAGGTGCGAGAGTCTCTGTATCACTGTCTTGGTAGCCCTGTCTGCCAGCCGTGCGACCTGCGAAAGAGTGTGGTGCATCTTCCGGCCGAGTTTGGAGGGAGGACTCAGGGGCTGCAGGCCCGGTTGGGGATGTGGGTAGGCTGGTGCCATGGCTGACGCTGGGAACCTGGCAGTTCCGAGATGTATATGGATACGAAGGGTCTTCGACTATGATACCAGTCTCTGTATGCATAGGAGCAGATGTTGTCCGTCGTATTCCCATCTCCGGGGAAGGCTGGTCGGTAACAACGCTGGCGCTATTGGGAGCAGCCACGGGGCCAGAAGTAGGCGGCAAGCTGGAAGACGGCAAGTCTGTCCGAACAAGCGGTCTATGGCGTCCAGATGATGCACTCTCTGGTGGGATACTGCTCCCAGACGCATTGCCTTCGTCCACAGAGCCTATAGGTCGTTTATCTGGTGGGTGAGCAGCCAGTTTGTGACGCTCATGTTCGTGCTGGGAGTAGCCCGGATCCGGCTGAGGAATGGCAGCACGCCGGACAGGCTGGCCCTGGTTCTTGACCCTATGATAGAGCAGGATACAGGCGTGTCGAAGGTGGACCAACGTCGTAGGGTCGATTACTGGCCGGTCTGCCAGAGGCGATCCCGGACGTATAGGGGCCAGGGTATCGTCAAAATTGTAGTATCTCGATTCATCCACAACAGGCGCGGGGTGAGGAGAGATAAACGGGCGTTTCTATCAGACCGTCAGTCCACAATTCAGTGCAGTAAATTCGTACGTTCGGCATATAATAATAACGGGAGGTGACAGGGGGGAGAAGGAAGAAGAGAAGGAGTAAAAAACACACCGAACTGGTGAACTTGAAGTTGAACCGCCGCCGCATGGCAACATCCCACGCTTGCTGGGTCAACATTTTTCGCCTCTGGCAGCCAGTTCTTTGCCTGGCAGTAGGATGGACAGGTCAGGTTTATGTAGATCTGCCAGACAGAGCTTTTCTCGCGGTCTCTGGGTGCAACGACACGGGTTATAAGAGAAGATCTCTCGGGCTCGGCTTCGTGTTTGCAAGGGCGGTTTGACCGCCAACCCGAGGCTCGACGGCGATATTGGAGCGGCAGCAGAAGTGACAGCGGGCGCTCGGAAGTGATGGCCAAAGGGCGGGAGGGCGATATTTGGCCGAAGCGAGACAGCTCGGGGTTGGTGATGGCTCGTTGGCTAGCTTGCGGTGGTGCCGTGGACGAGGCGAGCAGCGGGCGAGGACGACGGCGAGGATGGACAGAAGATCAAAGTCATCTTGAGCAGACGACGAAGAAGACGGAGAAGAAGAAGAAAAGGGAGACAGCACAGAATAAGAACCTAAGACTCAGACAGCGGGTTGATCGTTGTGCGGCCGAAGGGAAAGGAAAAATGCGCGTCGATGGCCAGCGATGCACAGCTATGGCCGGGCGAGGTCGCTGTACCTCCACATGCATGGCGCGGTACCTCGGCCGCCCGCAAAAAACAGTGGCACGCGAGGTACCTCGCCATGGGGCCGGGGTCGCCCCTTTAAGCCGCAGCCATCGCCCGGCATAGTTCGCCATAGTCCCGCATAGCCCTTCTTCCCTAGTTGTTCGGCCTCTCCGCGCTGCCAAAGACGACATCTACATATAACTACATGTTTACGGGGTCGACTGGTCGACTGCAAAGTACTCCGTAAGTACATAGCTGGCTGGCTGGTCCTCTGTCTGATCTACATGATGGCTTGCTTGTTCCACTTGTTCCACGAAAGAAACGGGCTGGTTAAACTAACTAGTTAATCACAATCTGTCCTACCCCTTAACGGCGCTATTGATACACAACTTCTCGCCTGCATCGTGCGAATAGGAGTCGATGTTTGTACACAGGCTTGAACGCTAGCGACCCCACGCTATCTCCTTTATTCCTGTGGTTCTTCCCCGTTCTTTGATAGTCGCGCGCCCCCTGTCTATATATATACATATATACTCCGTAACAATGGAGTCGTTAGTTAGGGCGTAAGGAGGGGGTCCATTCCAGAGCATTTCCCCGGCTAGAGCGAGCGTCTAGACACCAATTCGACGCCGGCGTTAAAGAGTGTAGCGGAATGTAGGCGCTTTATCGCCTAACTCGCTCAATTCCTGGTCACTCAGGCCCCGGGTTCCCTCTCGCTCTCGTTTAGCGTTGACCCGCTTGTAGGCCTCACGCATGAAGATGGCTGATATCACTCCAGCAACCAAGAACCCAAGTTCAAGGGCGTGGCCAAGAGTGTACTTGGGTGCGTCTGGCGCTCGATAGAAGTTGGACGCCATGGCTAAGGGAGGGGGGTTAGTCGGTCATATTGCTAATAAAAAGAAAAGGAACGGTACGGAGTACGCATATAAGGACAAAGGGGTCTCAATTTTTGGCTCACCTCCTGACATGTTGCCTGTTCCGATCTGGAATGCCATGCCCGCAGAACGTTTGTAGCTGCCAGCAAGATTGTTGGCTAGCCATGTTACTGCGCCAGGAAAAGCAGGATAAATGCCTATATGGGTGCAGGTTGTCCGTTAGCATGTTGCATCATACGGTTTGATTTGGGATCTTCACAGCTTACCGCAGATGGCGATGAAAACACCTGCATACACTACCCTTGGAACACCTCGTCCTGCAGCAGAGATACAGATGATGAAACCGATGCCAATCAAGCACATGCACCCAATGACAAAGGGTGAGCGCTTGCCACTTCTGTCAGAGTAGAAGGCGACTACAACGGCAAGTGTTGCCGCAGTCACGTATATAGGCACCGTCAGGAGCTGCGCTGTTGAGGTCTTATACCCCAGGTCTTTGATGATACTCGGCAAGAAGAGTGAGGTTCCATACAGAGGACAGATGATGCCCACGCAAACTGGGTTCCTGTGGTTAGCATTGACTAAAAAAACCCCGAGGATAAAATATAATTGAAACCAGGGGCATACCGAAAAGTGATGCATAGACTTGCCAGTCTGTGAATACCTCCTTGATGTACTTCCATTTAAACTCCTCCGTCTGGACTACTCTCCTCCCCGATAAGCTAGACCCCTGATACTTGAGGCGGTGAATAACAAATTCCCGCTCCCTGGGAGTTAGGAACGATGCTGTTTCGGGGAAGTCTTCAAGGAAGAAGTATGCGCCAGCTGCCACAACAACGGTCAGGAGGCCCTCCAGAATAAAAATCCATCGCCATCCTTGATACCCTCCCACCCCGTCCATTTTCTATATCTCGTCAGCTAGGCCGGGATAAGTAATCCGAGAATAACTCACTGCAATAGCAAATGCCAACAGGCCAGAGAAAGCACCTGCAATGCTGGCAGCACTGAAAAACATGGCCTGCCTAAGCTGCACCTCGTGTCTGCAATACCACATAGTGATATAGTATGCAACCCCAGGGTATAATCCGGCCTCTGTTCGTGCTTATCAGCCTTCCCATTGCTCTCGTGAAGAGTGCAGTCAAGTCCAACATGCTTACCGGCAACACCCAGGAAAATCCGAGCAATCAACAATCCTTTGTAATCCTGTACAATCCCCATCAAGGTCTACCTCTATATTAGCATAGAACACCATGCATCCTGATGTTTCACTGCCCTACCACAACGGTACCCCATGCAAGCATGATCGAGGGTAGATCTAAACAGTAGTTAGCATGTCTATCCTTCTTGCATTCACACCCTATCAATAATACCGCATCCGACGTACAAAGTGAAGGGCGTAATCTCTTCAACAGGATATTGGATGGGACCTCAAAGACAGAGTATGTAAAAAAGAACACAGTTACTGTCAAGGTATTTAGTTACGATCCGCTTATCAGTTGCACTGGGAATTGAAACTTACAGCACCAATTGAACTGGCCTCCTTTAAGGCCCAAGTCAACATCCAATCCCTCGATCTTCGCATTTCCAATATTGCCCCTATCCAAGAATGAGAGCAGATAGAGGAGTGCTAGTGCTGGGATCAAACGCATGTCCATCTTCCTGATCACCTTCTTCTCGTTGATATCAGAGAAATCAGGCTCAGAGCTTGAAGTAGACCTCAACTCGCTGTCATGCTTCTCTGAGATATCAGGCCCATTATTCCGTTCAACATCCTCTCGCATCTCCGTCTCTGGCTGCTTTTCTGATATTCCCATTATTGTTCACGTTCACCTTTTGATATGGTCGGGTCGGAAACAGGGGCTAAAAGACAATTCCTCGAGGAAAGGGAAAACGAGAAAAGCAGACAGGATGTATAGGGGATTCAGGGCATATATACCCTGATATCCACACATCTTGCACTTCTACCGTGCAAGTCGCCCGCATCCCACCTTTCTTCTTCCAGGTCGCAAGGATAAGGACATCAGTTTACCATGCGTCTCTTGGCCATGGTCGCCACATAGAGTTAATAAACTACCTCGGAATCTCCTCTTCGCCTGTCAAGCCCATGCACTCCCCCGCATATATGGAGTTGGTCGGCTATGGTCTTCTACCAGAACCGGTTTATCATGGAGGCAAGTAAGAAGTTACGAGAACTTGGAAGGACGCCAACGGTTCACCGCAACCGACAACCATACCACAGACGAAAGATCGGCCAGGTCCCATGCTTAAAAAGGAGGCTAGATGCACGGTTTATTCCGAAGACCCCAGCTTCTGTAAAGTGGCACTGGTTGGGTGAGACGAGATGAACCATTGCTGCTCGAAGACGCTTTCCGAGTGGTAGCAACTGTTGAATGCAAGATTGCTAGTCAACTAACGAACTAGTTAGTTGTCCGCTGTTGCTTGTGGCACGCTTGATATCAAGCCAGGCGTGTCTACTATTATTGGGCAGGTTGTTCAAGGCCTCGGCAATCTTCTCAGGGACTAACCCTGCGAGGTCCCTGCGACGTAATGCAGGGAGGAGAAGAGCTCTCAGACGTATAACTCGGGCCGCATGTGCGTATTCAAAGCATTCTGACAAGGGTTCGTTGCCGACTTGTTTGTCCGCATTGCCAATGCTCAATAGTTAGACTAGTCAATGACCAAGCTAGATAGACCCGGTCATTATGCTTTCCAGAAGCCACTTCTCATTTCACCATTGAAGGCAAGGGTTGCTTATCTATTGACTTGGAAAAGAGAGCAATTCCTGTGTGACGATATTCTAGAGATGCAGCCTACCAAATGTCATGCAGGAGCGGCGTACAAAAACAGCAAGGAAACTCTGGATTAAATTTGAGATCCGAGATATTATTGGAACGTTTGATCCGCATGGGATGAGAGTTTAAATATACTCAGCGGCTTTCCGTCTCCTAGATCTTCAGAACCAGCCTGGGGGTTAATGGTTAGTGTGTTGTGTTAGTTACTGATCCAGAAGACCCTGGACATCATGTATGGAGAAAATACTTCAAAGTATTACATAGAACCTCACGCAACAAAGGGATCATCCAAACGAAAAGGCGTTTTCATACGGAGAACTCCATGCATATTTATTGTTCCATAGGATTAGTTAGATGTCCTTCCGGTACTCGCAATGCTGTAAGTCTGCGGGAGCATGTCCCTAACGTGTATCTCAAGCATTCCACCTTATCCACCAGATGCAGGATATGTTCGGGGATCCCTCGAATCGGAATCCGCCATTCTGGCACTGTTCGAATATTTCGCGCATCGATGCAGCCTGTTTATGCGTGCCTAGGTTGCAATGGTGCTGATCATCACATAAATACTTATATGTGCCGCGAGTACTCTGTAAGGATGATTTCGATACCCAATTCCATCGACTTCTTGAACGATACTTCTCGTTCATATGAATCTGCACCAGTAACTTCATAACTAGGGGCATGCGATCGTCTTAATGATCACAGGCGATTCCATTCGACAAAGTCTCTCTGATGATGCGCAGTTTATTAAGCCCGCAACGAAAGCGTGCACATCGCTTTCTCCCAGGAATTCGATCGGACATTTGGCGCGCTTTGATGTGGCAAATGACCCATTTCTGTCATGTGTTGAATGGGGAACCTCCAAGTTTAGGGTTGAAGATGGGGTAATACTCCATTCCCTGAGAATTCTCAAATCCCGTCTTTGAGTCTTGTTCACACCAGCTCTTGCTTCATCATAAAACGAGGCATTCGCCTCTTTGCGCGCCTCGTTGGCCCAAGGACAACCGAGACAATCATCAGGGCAAAAGCCACCAAGAAGAATATCCAGAGATAATGATACAGCCATGAAAGGACTGCAACGTCGTTTCCATGCCATGTGGATCCAGGGAAATGCGAAAAGAAAGTATATTCCGTTGTGTCGTACAGCTGCGACGGCAATATGGCAAGGCCGTGTGGCCCCTTGAAACTGGCTATATCATCTTTTGCACCCGTCTTCAATATTTCGAACCACGACAAGATAATTCCGCTGAAGAACATCGGCCCTGTGGTAAAGAACACTGTTACATACTTACTAACGTACCACCAGTTGTGATCATAAAGGCTTAATGCAGCTTTTATCATCAAGGGATGGCCAGGAGAGCTCGCCATCAGGTCGTTGCTGACACCATAAGGCCATGTTCGCGGTACCCATGCCGGGAAATCAAGTAGTGGGCGAATATCACGTCGACATCCTATATCCATATCCATGTATATTCCACCATAGTGCCAGAGTAGGAAATATCGCAGCGCATCCACCCGCTGAATCCCATATCTATACCCATCATACGTGGCTAAAAACCATTTAAAGTTAGCCTCGATGAAATCGCGAGCTTTTTCGTCGGTCCAGAAGTAGTGCTGATATTCCGGGAGCAGAACTTAACAAGAGTTATAGGCGTCTCTCCAGATTTCCGGAAATTCTGGGGTACTATAAGTTCGGTGTATGATTCTTGGTATTGGCGTCGCGTCTTTATCCTTCAGGAGGGTGACATTGTAGGTTGGCTGATTCTTGCTGATGGCATCCTCGAGTGCCTTCACATAGCCTTGCGGCAGGTCGTCTAACGATATGGAGTTTCGACTCAATGCTAAGTTTAGGGAATTGTACGAATGTATCAGGGACGCACAAGTGTACAGGAACAGTAAAACAAGAGAGACTAAAAGGGGGGCATTCCAGACGAAATCAAGCAGACGAAAGGGTAGAGTACGAAGCAGTCTCCTTTTGCCGAAAAGATAGCCCACAAGAGACATCGTCACAAAACCGCGAAAACTGCTGAGCTCTGCTTTATAACCTGCAAGAGACGAGGCTCCCTCTGCCGCTTATATATAAAAACTTCCATGCTGCGAGGGGAAGAATTTGGGCTAGAGAGTGAAAGGATTAGAGCATTCCTCTTTTGTCCCCACTGAGCGGACGCAGAAAGGAGCAGCCTGTAAGAAAGATTTCGGTTCCCCTTGGTTCCTTATTCGGTAGATTCCAGGTCCCAAACTCTCTATTTAGGCTGTTTTACTTGTTCGAGAACATGGCGCGCTGCTTAATTACAGCAAGACCCTGGGTCACATGGAGTTGGAACGGGTCTTTTTTTGGAACGCTCCGTATATGGGGTATGTCATTCGCACCCTGCTTCATAACCGCTTCTTACTGGCTCAAGAGGTCAAAGATGCCAGATGGTTGTGGCGCGAATTTGCAGGAAGGTTTAATCTTCCGGATACGGTAGAGCTAACTACCGTCAAGCTGGCTTGTTTCTTTTGCGACTGCCTGGGGACGAGTCCTGTAAGCAAGTAAGCATGTCTAAGTAGATTTGAGACAGGGTAACTTAAATTTATAACGGCTATCCCAGCTCAATAATATGTGCGTCCATATGTGCAGGCAGTAAATTAAACAGCACTCGCAGTATATGCAGGCCTAACACTTTCTCCTGACGCAAGGCCGAACGCTCCATGAATGGCTGGCGAAAAAGCTTGCAGGCTGATGGCAAAGTTTATTTGAACAGCGTCATTCACACTAGCGGGCTAACTAACTAACTAATTGGCTAGTCAGGCAACTTATGCAGCTTCTCACACTGCAACAATTGGCCAGTCTTTCAGGTAGACAAGAGCTGAAGAGACGACTTGCACGAATCCACCCAGAGGACTCGGTCGCATTCGATGCGAGCGCATGCAACCGTAGGCGAGGCTCTCAAAGAAACTACTCAAGGTTAGCCGTTGCTTGGGTTCTTTGCTCGCAAGAGAGGCTGATGAGGGAGATTAGTTACATGCTACCTCTCGGAGACATAGTTTGTTTGGTGTCTCTCGTATTCGCGCTGACCTCGCCCAACTAGGCAATCTTACTCGAGTCACCGACATCCTCTGCAGGACGCAATAATACAGACAACGGATGGCTGACGGGACACACAGCGCAGAGTGTAGGATTGGTAGGAAGCTGCACAGTCGGAAATACGGCGATTGTTGGTTTTTCTGTAAGGACTATGGTCGAGTGGTTTTCGCCTGGGTGTACGCATGCTGAATACGCGTTCTGCGGCTAAGGCACAGCAAGTTAAAAAAGGTCGAAGCCCTTGCTGTAACTTGAAGCACAGTTAGCTCTAGTTAAGTATATGCCGGCTATTTTTAGGAAACCCTGTGTTGCGTAATCGCATAGAGAGCGAAACTCTTTATTGCAGGCCATTTGGCATCGCATGCAAGTTTATGTAATATCGATGAGAGATGTCGGGGAGATAACGTGAGGCTGTTACCTGAACCCATACTGTTGACAAGGGAATGCAAGAGTTGTGGTCCATCATGCGAGATCAGCTGAGGTGCGTTGGTGTTGTTGAATACATAAAAGTCTAGACTGTATGGGGCAATAGTGCGCGCTTCAATCATGACAAGCTCCAAATCGACGGGAACTATCCTGGAAAGAAAAAAAAAAAAAAAAAAAAAAAGGAAATCCACCTATGCCAAAAAGAATATTTAGAATATAAGGGGAATCGTAGAGCAGTTGGATGCTCGGTGATAATATGAAAGCCAAAATAAGCAAGAAGAAAACTGTGCATACCCAATTACGACGCTGCTGACGTCGATACTCTTACCACGCGGTGATGTCGTCTACCTCCGCTTCGCCGAAGGTGCTACTTTTCGTGAGCTTACCAACATGGTCACCAGCAGGATTCGCATCTGTTTCTGAAGGGGCCATGATGTCAGGTAGAACTTCCCTGAAGAACTCCAGGATGTATCTGTTCACCTGCTCGAACTGCAGCAAGAAAGCGTCGTGGCCCTCGGGGCTGTCAATATTTTTTAGCCGTGAATCCGGAATCCCATCGGCGATTTCTTGCTGTTCGGCGAAAGTGAACAAGCCATCGCTTTCAATCCCAAGGACAAGGACGGGCTGCTGTATTTGGGCTAACGCATCTTTTACGGGCGTTTGAGACGTCTCGTCGGCTCGATGTCTCGAGACATCATGTGTATCCAGTTTACGGGTAATTGCAATATAACAATTGCTGTCAAAACGTTTGACAAATTTCTCTCCCTGGTATCGCAGATAAGATTGGGCAGAGAAGTAGGTTGCAGGCCGCTTGGATAGTTCCAGAGATGTAACAGAGCCTGGGGATGCAGGAGTTGGTGCATGCGCGGTGTACACAGCTGCACCCGTGAATTGAGGATCGGTGAACTGAAGCTCTGTCAATGGTCTAGGTGTCTGAGCTCCACTTGACGGCCGGGATGGCCGTGTGCTCTTATGGCCATCATTATGGACTGCCCAATGCTCGTTGGGCGGAGTTGGCAGGCGCTGGGTGCCGTTGATGTTCTGTCGTTTCGATGGATCAGGCACATTCCGGCCAAATCTGGACTCAAACGAATTTCGGCTACGGTATGTCAGCAACGCTGACATACGAGCAGCACCGAGCCCCGTGGCAGGGGGATCACTAAATGCATAGTATCCATCCTCATATTTTGGATCGCTATAGATGCTCTGCCTCTGTGCTTCACCCCAACTTATACCCCACGCGGAGTGCCGACTTGACGTCGCGATTGGCACAATACACCGAACATAATTCTTGCCGAAGTAAGCATATTCCAACGTGAGCATTCCACCCATGGAGCCGCCAACTACGGCAGCGATCTGACGGACGCCCAGATCATCCAATATAATTTTGTGGAGGCTGCATTGACCGTTAGTATCAATCTAGTTGTTCAAGGTTATGCTCCCCGTGGATGATTAGCTTACTTGACGTCGTCTCTTATCGTGGTCAATGGAAACTCTGGTCCATATAACCCCCTTGACTTGTCACCATCCTTGTACGTGACTGCACTAGCCGTACCGTATGGGCTACCCAGACTGTTCAAACAGATGATGAAGAATCTAGTAACGTCAAATGCCTGGCCAGGGCCGCCGAGCAGTGGCCCCCACCAGTCACTGACATCTGCACTTCCACTTAGGGCATGACAGACTACCAGAGCGTTATCTCCCGTCGGCGAAAGCTTGCCCTTGGTTGTATATGCCACAGGAACATTATACAGTGTAACACCAGATTCAAGGGTGAACGAAGGGACAATCGCAATTGATTGGTCGGTTATCAGTTTCGAAAAAGGGTTCTCAGGCTGACATGCCACTCTCTCTACGGGATTTAGTAGCTGTTCACCCTCCACAGTGGGCGTATAGGAAGTGGTATATACTGACGGAGCTTTGGTTGGTGGGGAGTCTGTTCCCCGCATTCAGCCATCCTGCAGGCGCAATGTGAATCAGCGCTGCGAGTCGGAAAAATGGGCGCCAATTGATGAAACAAGCCAACAAGCCAGCAAGCCCGTTGAATTAGCGTATACCAAGGTATTTAATACGACAGCGCGAGGAGGAGAAGAGAGAAGAAGAACAGGATGGAGTGACGTTGGAGTTGAAGTTGAAGTTGGACGTTCTTATTTTTTTTGCTCTTCTTTTTCTCTTTGAAGATATGCGAGGGCTGACGCCACCGCCTACCAATCAGGAAACGGCAGAATTAGGTAAGCGTGACTCTCGGATCTTTATTATTCCATTACGGATGGCTATTGCCGGAATTGGAAGGAACCTTACGGCAATTTAAATGATAGGTAGGTTAGGTACTACTGGTGCCTATCTGGTTAAGGTAGCCCGTATTGGATGGGATTCGGACCTCGTAGTATCAAACTTGATCATGAGCCGGATATGCTACCATTTCTCTATAACGATGGGGTGGTATGATTGTCATTCTACGCATCAGAGTCAGCCTCTACTTAGCTGACGGTAGTATGTAAGTATGTATGGATTACCCTAACCAAATCATCTATAGGATTTGAGCCTTGGTTTGCTTGTTAGTTTCGCCTTGAAATTGACGTCGTTGGATATTCTAGCAACCGGAGAAGAATATTATACATAATAATATTATACAGTAATAAGACATGATCATGGACTCATCAACATCGTAATAATACTCGGACACATGCGCCGAACATCAGGAGCGGAAAGTTGAATCAAGATTAGAGGGTGGTTAGGGACGGCTAGGTGCTGTCGTAAAGATGCTCACCCTCGAGCTTCTGAGGCTTCAAGCAACGGGGAGGTGAAAGTGAAATTTGTGACATGGTCCCGTCCATAATAGAGTTGAGGTAGTCATCATCATCGGAGTAATCGATGTCAGTGGGTTCGGCTCCAGCAGACATGGCAGCAACAGCGTTGAGCATCCATTGCATTTCAAGCAGTGCAACATCTGGCAGCGGCAGTTCTTCAGGATCCGCGGTCTTCATTAAGATAAGGTCGCCGCTGAATATCGGCTTGTCGGTGTAGACGTTAAACAATTTAACTTTATTGGACCCTTAATTACTAACGTCTCTAACATCCCCAATTGATGGCACGCTAGGCCGCGTAGATAGCCTCATCATCGGGGGATTATCTGCACGCGGTAGCCAGAAATACCGGAGGGTAAGCTCCGTCTGGTCCTCGTTCATGTCGATAGGTTTCAAGGCAAAGTATGACCTTCTATGGTAGCTGTGAGAGCGGGAATATGTGAGCAACTTCAACTGGAGCTCCGGCCCTGGTGATTATGCATTCTTCGTTGTCACGTTTGCGGCACTGTGGCGCTTCTGGTCAATATAGCGACAACCAAATTTATAGCGAAAATTGACAAACATTCTCAGCCTCAGATTTTGATCTAGCTTCGATCAGTTCACCACCCAGTCTGTGTTTGAGTCCGCCTGGACTACGTGACGGTGATCCGACGGATGACGGTTTCTGCAAACCGATGGGCTTTGACATTGTAGAAGATGAACGGCTCCTTTGGAGCCCTAGCGTAATAAAAGCTGTTAGTATCTACCTTTCTGGAATCCCCCTCATTCGAGACCGAAATAATGGAAGAGGTGAATGGGGATAGCTGCTAGTTGGCAAGAACTTCGTCACTTCGGCGCTGTGAGGCTACCCTAAGGTGGTTTTGTTTGCTCGTAGTTCGTCGTTGAGCCCCAAATTCCAGGGTGGGGAAATACCGTGATTGGGTCGGCGTGTTCACCAATCAGCAAGCACCAAAAATATTCGCTGCCTTTGGCTGGGCTGGTTTACGTGGTATACGTGGTATATGCGACGACGGAGTGTCGATATTGCTGAGTATCAAACCGCTGAGCAAAAGGGGGGAGAGAGACCCCTGATTGGCAGTGAGAGAGTCGTTATATCATTGACAATAAGTTGTCAAAGTAACTATGTATTAGGTACATAGCGTCACTCAGCAACTAGGCATATAACTGCCTAGCAAGGAGACGTTATTCACTTCATCAGATCAACCATAGAAGTGAAGAAGAACTGTGTTGATCGCACAGACAGCCACGAGGTGCAGAGCAAGGATCCAGCGGAGGCCCGCTAAGATACAGCCACAAGACTGTCGGTTCTATGGGATGTCTGGTAGTTAGTTAACTGCTGGAGTAGGAAGTTGGATATACTCTGAGCTTCTGCGACTCCATCAGCAGCCACAGGACTTCGGGATATCAGATGAATCGACTTGGATGATTTACCTCATCCTCTAGTTGGTCAGAGCAGGCAAGACATTTGCTGGTTATCGATTATAAGGTTCATTAGCGATCTGTTGCTCCCCCCTGGATGTCTCATGCTCACCAGTTATCATCCTTGACAGAATCCAGTTCCTATATTTCTCTGCATTATCCATGCCATTACGGCCCCGAGGGGTCCTCAAAACGGCTTCCGCTTGCTGTTGATGCAAACTTCCCTTGGGACAAAACACCAAGTCTCTGTGCCGTAACTAATCAACTAGTCGCTCGTGCAGCCCCTTGAGCCCTTTGGGCCGGTCTGCCTCCAGCCACATTTCCAGCGGCGTTTGTTCTACAAACGCCTCAATGTAGAAAGGCTGCAGACTATGGAGTATCTCCGCCGCAAAAGCTTCTTCCCCTCGATCGCTCTCACAGCAAGAAAACAAAAACAGGGCTTGCTAACTAAACTCGTCTAAAAAAAAATTATTCGTGGCTACGCCAAAAAGCCCCTGGATGGACGATGGGAAGCACTTCTACGCTCTTATTGGTTCGCACAGATTTTGAGGCACATTTTACCTCCAGTTTCATGTTTATCTCGTCCATCTCCCAACCTCCAATGCGCCGCCGAAGGCGCCCGGGTGGATGATAGTCGAGGGAATATCAACTGAAAATCGTCGTTCGAGACAGCAAGAACAGCAAACGGATCAATCCATTATTTCTTATTTTATTATTTTTTCTCTTCGATGCTCTTTGGTGGGAGCTGAACTTGATATGTATCAAAGTCTTTTTTTTTTCGTCCATCCCGAATACTCGGGTCAGTGTTTGTTCAAAACACAACCGACAATCAAGTTCTGCAGAGATACGAATAGAAGACTGGGTGAAGGAAAAAAGGACTTCCTGGAGACTGTCGAATCCAAGAATTCGGACGGCCCGTTCTCCGTTTTCCATTCTATTTTATTCCTTTCCCCCCCAATCTGTCTTCTTAAAATAGAGACGTCACTTTATCCGTGTCAAAAGTGGCCAGGCCCGTCAAGACTGCCAAATATATCAAAAGCAAACGAATTCTACTCGACTAGCTACGCCCTGCTTTGTCATTCAGTTTGGGCTCGTTGGGGTAGTTCCTTGACGATCTCCTTACGAAAGCATTGGACTTGATATCTATTCTCCAGAAATGCTACTGGCCCTTTTTTCAGGTGGAGTTGTGAGGTTGTTGATCACCACCACCACCACAGTGTCACTTCTATCGGAAAGCAATATGGAAGTACCACTCAAATATGGAGTAACTACCTTTGGGGGGGAGTGGGGAGAGAGTGAAGAGGCCAGACCTTTTGGCAATGGTCTCTATCACATTCAAACACCGCTACTTCGAGGGAGAGATGTGCCGGGCTTGAATGTTTACTAGCCGTTATTAATCATTCAACCGAGCCCCCGTTGTACTCACCTTGCCCTACAAAATGGCATAATTACAACAAAAAGGATCGGGACATGGCTGGGCCGAGGTCACTCACGATTCAGGGTCCAGCTGTACCTGCTGCATCTCCCTGTTTGATGTCAAGCCAGAGTAGCTGTGTTACACCGATCGCCCGTTTTTATTATTTTCTTCTTTCATTCTGACCCTTACCTTCTTTCCCTCATTTGTCTAATTCTTTTAAAACTAAGCAATTTATGCAGGCTGCCGTTATCTACATACATACAACCCGAAGTATCCGTCCGACGTCCTCTTGAGTTGATTTCTGCAGAGCTGCGGACCAGACTGAAGAGCGCCTTTTCGTTGTTTTCACACTGCTTTGTTCACCGACCATTCCTCACAGAAAAACCTCCTGAATAGTGGGTCGTTGGCTGTCTTGCACCTCTGCACACTTTAACTCGACCGGACAAACGCTAAGAACGCTCAATCTTTCATCTCCCTAGTCCGACGACTAGTTTACAAGATGATAGGACTCAGATTCAACAGCAGAACGACCCACTCTAACCCTGGGCTTACGGATGTGGCTTTGGGGGTCCAAGCTGACTTTCTTCCGAGTACTTTCCAACACAGCTGCCCCCATTCCCCTTCAATTCCCCTTGTGCTTGGGCCATTTAAAATGGTACATATCAACAATTTCAGATCTATAAAGAGGGTTATGCCTCTTTTATACTTGATCCAAGGTTCAATGGCCTTTCCATGTGTCTTATCTTCCATTGGTCTGTTCGCCTTATTGTCCTTAAAAAAGGCAATATTAACTTGACAAGGGAACTGTTTTCTTTCGAAGTCTCTTGACTTGACTGTGTACCCTTCCGTTTTTTGACCTACATGCAAGATAACCGTTGCATGTCAGGGACCAAGCAGAACAGGAGAGGTTTCTGCATGTTCCCGTTCTGAAAAAAAAAAAAAAAGAAGAAGAAGAAGAAGAGGAAGAGGAAGAAGTGAAAAGGGGAAAAAGAAAAGAAGTCCAGAAAATAAAATAAAGGTTAAAAAAAAGGCAAGGTGAGGCGTGCGATAATCTATATATTCATATAATAGGTACGCCGAATGATGTGCGAATTTAAAGTGCTGTGCTTATCCTTCCTCACCAGACAGAATTATAATTCTGCAGCCTTCTTTCCAGAGAGAAGTTGTTTTTACAAACACGTTTCCCCGTCACCTGTTGATATACTTGACATACCCGGAAGACCCGCCCCAAAAAAAACACATCCAATTCTCAACCTCTTCTCCCTAAGGGCCTTTCAAAACCTGTTCCACAAAGGGTCATGAGCTCGGCTGCAACGACGCGTGTAATACAGGTACTTTGATCCCTTGATAACTAAATTTTCCTCGGGTTCAGGAGTGCGTTGTCTTCCGTCTACGGGAGTATCGGGAACTAAGGGCCTGCAAGTCTATATCAAGGAGCTATTACCCCGTTGACCTAGGGCCCTTTTTACTAAACTCAAGGCAATTCATCTATTGTTCGTGAAATTGTACAAATACCTCCTTTATCCCCCCTCCCTAAGCCTCATATCATTCCCTTTCTACTTTGATATACCCCTTTGAATCCAACGTTCTTGCCAACCTCCCTTTAGCACTCACACATTCCACCACCAATGGCGCCTGGGAAACTTGTGGACGCGGAGCCATGCTCAGTACCTGATAGTCACCTGTTGGAACAAATATCGGACGATGTCGACCTAGTCAATATCATGAAGGCAAAGATAGCCAAGTCCGGTTCACAGGCACCACATCTCAACAAGGAGAAAGATAAATCGAACTTTCGACAATACGACAAAGCTTGCGAGAGGGTCAAGGAATTTTACCGAGAGCAACACGAGAAGCAAACAGTGGCGTACAATATTGAAGCAAGACGACAGTTCCAGTCGAAAGTCCGCGCGCGCATGACCGTCTGGGAAGCAATTGAGAAACTCGACACCCTTATTGATGAGTCAGACCCAGATATTTCACTCTCGCAAATTCACCATCTACTTCAGTCAGCAGAGGCCATTAGGCATGATGGAAAACCACGATGGATGCAGCTAGTTGGCCTTATCCATGACCTGGGAAAGCTTCTATTCTTCTTCGGGGCTCAGGGTCAGTGGGACGTTGTTGGGGATACCTTTCCAGTTGGCTGCGCATTCGACGAACGAATCATATATCCAGAGACATTCGCCAACAACCCGGATTCGACTCATGAGGTTTATAGCACGAAGTTTGGCATATACAAACCGAACTGTGGAATGTACAATGTCATGCTCTCATGGGGTCATGATGAATACCTTTACAATGTTGTGAAAACGCAATCAACCCTGCCAGAGGAAGCGTTGGCCATGATAAGATATCATTCATGCTATCCTTGGCATACCGAAGGAGCCTACAAAGAACTCATGAATGAGCATGACCATCAAATGCTCAAGGCCGTGCAGGAGTTCAATCCTTACGATCTGTACAGTAAGAGTGATAAGATCCCAAATATCGAGGATCTCAAGGTACGTCTACCACTCTTTGAGCTTTGGAGAACTACCTACCATATTTGGCCTTTGTTCTAACTACCATTTTCTTCACAGCCCTACTACCTCGAACTCATCGACGAATTTTTCCCAAATCGAGTCATTAACTGGTGATGAAGTAGAGTACTTTGTTAACCGAATCAACCCCTTTCCACCTCCATTTCCTTTGTCTCTCAAAAGTATTTTTTTTATTGCTTTACGGGGTATTTTTCGTTCCCACTTCTCACCTCTTCCTATTCAAATGTTCTCCATTCACCCAGCTTTACCACTTTTCATCGCATGTTTAGATGTTTTGGAGTTCCTTGATTCCTTTTTCTCGTATTAGACAAAAGGCTTTGTCAGTTTTTTTAATGAGCGAACTAGGGCACTCTATGATAGATATACAGGGGAGGAAGGCAGGCTAGGCTGTCTGTTCGGTGGAGGTTAGTTCTAATGTTATAATCTCAAAATTAATAGATCTCCTTTTTGACAGGATAGTATTTTATCGGCAATCACAGCTGGTAATGTGAAGTGGCTCTGTCTTGCATGGAATGGAGGTTATTTTACCTGTTAGGTTGGCCTCGATAAACGTTCATTCCCCCTCGTGGCGCAGATCTATAGCCGAATTTCCCGTTGGCCAAAGTATTATATTTGTATGAAAACCTGCAGCTCATCATTGAATCGGCCTATAATATGCGGATGTTCATCCAAATCTCACAAGTTCCTCTAATATAACGGGAATAAAAAACCTCGCCAGTATGTCGATATTGCATGGCGGAGTCAACGATCGTGAGTCGGGAAAACCTGCATGAATAACCAGTAAATGCAGGATATGATTCGGCTATATCAGAGAAGATAAGGCAAGGTCGATATTTGGAAATCAAAAGAAAACTAACGGCTAATGATACACCACTCCGGCGCAGAGGAACATATGCGCGATGCGCGATCGGCGTGATTTTCAAATTCCGGCGGGAGCTGCCTAGAAATTTAAGCAGATGATTATTCAATATTCGAGCTTCATTTCCTATATCGGAGGTGCAAGTATAACAATTAAATGTCTGAAGGTAACAGACAATTCGGATGACCCTTCGGCTTGGCCCAAGCCTTGCAGGACGGATGGTCACAGTCAGGGCTTTGATCGGATAGGAGTACGCTCTCAGCCGGAATCGGATTGTTTTATGATCGGTGTTTCTTTCTAGGCTACTACTCTTCCGTCCAATACGGATAATGAAAATTCTCAAGGAGACCTGCATCGGATTTAGATGAAGACTGGGTCAATCATCTCAAAGCAGACTGACAGGTGAAAACTCAGGCAGTGATTAGCCGACAGGAGAGCAAGGTGCCGTCTCATCATCGCTGTCATCTAAAGCCCAGCTTCTTGGTAGCCGTGTATCGGAGAATTGAATAATGCTTTGGTATTCAGCCTGTTGATAGCCCAGCCATATTTGAAAGGCGACGGCTTCATTCGGCCTCAGGGGCCAAGAAGACACCGCTTTTCCAGTATTTAATGACTCCAGCTGACGAGCAGCCCTTTTGGAGCAGTCCAGGTCTGGCCGGGGAATTCGTGAAGGGGGCACCCCTGAGATGCATATATTCCGGGTTGGGATATGGAGTTATGCTCGTCCAGTCCAAGTCTCGCAAGTCCGTCCAAATAAAAACTAGTCAGTCCCGAATAACTAGCTAGGAGCACCTAACTAGCCGTCCCGGCCAAGGAAGAAGCTAAATACCAGCTTCACCGCCATCGGCTTGCTTGCTTCTCGAAAGCCCTTGAACCAGGTTTTCTTTTGGTGTCGTCTGGATGTTTGTTTACTGTTTTCCGCTCTCGAAGCGTCTCCGTGTGGAGATTGCCGCTGGCACGTGACCATTCCGAAATCCTCGATGGAGCATCCAGGATATAAAAGTCGGCGAATCCTCCGTCCCAACGCTTAACCAGCAGATGGACGACGTGCAGAGCCATAACAGACCATCCAGCCCGGCCAAGTGGTCGTCTTGCCTGTGTTGTTCGCGCTGCAACGATGCTGACTTCAAAGTCGTGGCTGAATGCATACATTCTGACATTCAACTGTGCGAGAAACACCATTGATACCCAGATATTTGCCTCTCACCTATTTGATGGCCTTCCAAAGGATTCCGATCCAGTCAGTTATCCAGAGGTCTTGGTCTTGTCGCTGCAAGAAATCGCACCCATCGCGTATGCGTTTCTTGGCGGGTCATTTCTCGAATGGTATTTTGATGCGTTTAGACTGGCTGTTGACCTGGCGACACCTGAGGATCAGCGATACCAGAATGTCTTGACGAAGAATGTGGGGATGACCGCTATCATGGTATTCATTCGAGATGATTATGTTGACCGCATAGCATGGAAGGAGGAAGCAGAGGTTGGAGTTGGAGTCCACCAGGCTGGCAACAAAGGGGCTGTTGGGGCAAGAATAGGGTACCAAGTGGACTATGATAGTGAGGACCAGCTTCCCTTAACATTTGTCTCATTGCATCTTGCTCCAGATGAAAGTGCAATAGACCGGAGAAATCAGGATTGGAAAGATATATGTCAGAGACTTGTCTTTACTGGTTGCGATGTGGCGGGTCAATCGGGGCGTCAACATCGACAATATGACGAAGAGGGAACGCCTTTAATCCCAAGCTATCACGGGTCAGAAAGGGGCAGTGGAATGTACTCGCCGAACACGTATCTATTTGTAGCCGGGGACTTTAACTATCGCACATCACATAGAGACCCTCAACCTGGCGATATACCCGCGTTTCCCCAACCCACAAATGACACGAGCAGTAGGAACCATTATATGCACCTGCTCGCTCATGACCAGCTCACAAGAGAGCGACTAGCAAACAGAACTATGCATCATCTCTCGGAACGACCCATTACATTCCCTCCGTCCTACAAATACTCTCTAGAAGCCCGAGAGGGTAGTCTGCACCATCCTGAGGAGGGGTTCAAGTGGGCTAAGAACCGGTGGCCCAGCTGGTGTGACCGCATACTATACCTAGAAAACCCATTTCCAGGAGACGAGTCTCAAAAAGTCCAAGTACATCATTACGGCATATTACCGCTTTTCCAGACTTCAGATCACCGTGCCGTTGTGATATCTCTTTCAGTCCCTCTCAAGACTCCGCCCGCCCTCCAGGACTCCTCTGCGATCTCCCCTCCTTTTGACATTGATCATGATTGGCGAAGCAAGCGTTTAATTGCTAGAAAGAAGGAAATTGCCGTAGGAACTATGGCCTATCTAGCTCTAACTTGGGAGGGCAATGGCTTGATATTAGCAACGATTTTGGGGATTGCTGCTGGATACTTCACCCTGTATGGTCTCGAATAATACCTCTAATCCCGTGAGAAGAGGTGTAACATTTCCCATTCTTGGATGCCTGCTCAGATATTAATAAAAAGACTTATAACCGGATACTGGATCGGCTATCGGAACAGATTTTAAAATCAAGCCCCTCCTCTTTCTGCATGTCCGCAATATCTTGCAATTTATAGTTGCATTTTCTATGGGCCCCATTTATCAAATTAATCTGGTCGCTTTAGTCTCCCTCTATGCTGAGAACAAGCAGCTGAACAATGAATGTCAATAAGAACAAGTGACCTGCCCAAGAAGCACATCGAACGTATGATACATGCTTTGGCCCGAGTCCAGGGCCCATTCTACCTCGCGGCCTGGGATGCTATGGAGACTTCAGAGGGTTTCCAAAACGCGACTCCACATATTTAATTTCCAAACCGCTCCAAACGTTTCACCCCTTGTCAAAACAAGTCGCCTTTACAAAAACGAGGGTCGGGTCGAGCTATTTACCGATCCTTGGGACGGCAAAGTAAATATTTACAAACATGCCAATCGCCAACCTTATTATCAGCCGCTCCACAACGTTTATGCCGGCGTGCGAAGAGGATAATTTGTGCATCTTTTGAGGCTATATGCGACGCAACGTACGCACGGGCGGCACCCAGGAGGACAGGAGAAACGCATGGAGGCCTTCAGCCTTTGTTTAGACAAGACATGGTTATGGTGTTTCGTATTTGCCAGCGCTATCTGCGGAGGAATGGCATCTTATCCTCTCCGTTTGAAACAACATCAAGCCACCCGCCACGGCTGGACAAATAGATACTTATATTGTGCTGTCTAATCAATGGACTCCCTGGCTTGGGGGCGGCCGTAATGGAGTCGTCCGTTTTCTGTACGGAGAACGGAGTATTTGCCGTGGTGATCATCGGCTACTTGGATAACTAGTTTCTACAGCCCCTGAGACAGTCTTGTACTCTCCGCTGTCAACTCATTGTTGATTCTTGTAGCTATCGGCTTTTGTCTACGGAGTATAGGGTGGTAATATAAGTTTCGGCGTTTGATACTTCACGTTGTCCAGTGATTTCTACGAATTAATCTCGGCTTTGAACAAGTCACAGTGGACGGCTAGGTCCATGTATGCCTTTACTAAATGCGGGCTTGTTTATTCGCAAATAGAAATATATTCAAGTGAAGACCCGGAATTAAAGAGAGAGAGAGAGAGAGAAAGAAAGCCGAAAAATGCTCTGGACAGGAAGATATCCATGATGCTCTAAGGTGAGGTTCCCGAACTCACTCAAGCCTTCTGCGTCGGACATCGACCTTCTTACTGTCTTCCACGCCCTGGCAATAGGCTGAATCATCTTTGATAGCTGTGTACCTCCGGCTGCCCTGTGTAACCGGATATTTTGTTGCTTCAGATAGTCGTCCCCTACTTTCTTTGACGTTTGGCGGAACCGAATAAGTTGCATCTCGGATTTCCACAGGCTCGCTGCAGGAACACTAGCTACTGCAATATCCCTAGGCATAGCCGTGTCCTCACCGGTTGAGGAATGCGATTGCTTTTCCTCCTCTGACTGTATACCATCCAAGTTAATAAATGGTGATGCTTCGCGTTTCAGAAGCCTGCCAATCTCCTCGTCCAAATCTGCGGTGGGATCGAGCAAATCACCATCCTCTTCTTTGAAATCAGGCTCAACCGTAAAACCGCATCCTGCTTCCTCCTCGTCGCTGCTGGTGTCCCCGTCTCTGCCCCCGTTGTTAGTCTTGGGAATAGTTCCCGGGTTGCCCAAATCCGTGGGACTCGGCGCCCTTGATTGTGAAGACAACTGGTCATCGCTAATAGGACCGGATTCGCTTTGAACGGGATTCAATCTGGCCAGCTCTTCCTGGCGTCGAAGTTCTTCTTCTCTAATGCGCTCATTCAGGGTTTCTAGCCCTGCTTTTCGAGCCATCTCTGCTTCCTGCTATTTTTCTTCATATGCCATGCTTCGCAAACCGGAAGCGACTCCACAGGCATAGTTAAACCTGGCTGACACGCCTTTATAGGCCAAGGCCCATTGTGAAATGAGATTGTAGACCATTTCAAAAGCTATGGCAGCAGCGACTGTGTTCTCGGCGATTCCATAGAATGTCCACTCAATTGAGTTGAACTTGCGGCTGGAATAGAATTGACAGTCAAAAAACATTTGCATGGCGTGAGCAGCTTTGATAACAAAACCTTCGTTTTGTATAGAGGTGCTCCCTTCCTTTGTGCTAGTGATGGCCACGATACTGCTTCCTGCAAACTGGACCTGCTCGTCTGACTCCTTCGAGAGCAGGTCGGCGTTGGTAACATTATGTTGGGCCATCAACTTTTGCGACAGAAAGAGGGCCGCCTTTGCCTCAGACTCTGTTGTATTCTCATGGTTTGCGCGCTCAAGACATTTCTTGATGCGGTCGAGAATACGATCGTCGATCGAGTTACCACCGGCCGCCAACGAAGGTCTCTCCTCTGCAAGTGATTTGACTGATGCCTTTTGTCGAGGTGACTTCGTTGTAGGCTTGCCAGGTGGACGACCCCTGGAGCGCTTGTTGTAGGTCTCGTCCATAACATCTTCGCACATGGCGAAAGATCTTTTCACCGGACATGCCGCCATCGCACCGTAACTATCCTGGCGTAAAGTCACGCTCCCGAGTGCACAGGATAAGTCCTTTCTGAACAGGCACTGTCTGTTGACCAGGACTTTTGGACGTGGGCTTCCAGTCCTACACCCTTCTGCGCACGGGTCTCCTTCTCCCCCCTTGACCATGGCTGCCTGCCTGCAAGCCTCAGCGCTTCAGACATGGGGTAACATCTCTGGACTGCAATGCTCGTCGCAGGTCTGGCCAATAACCAGTGCCTTATATTGAAAATGAGTGCAGCAGCGGTGAGAAACCGGCCACAGAACAGACAATCCCTGGCGGCTAACAGGTGAGCGGAACTGCAAGGCTGGCCAGGGGGGAGCCTGCGAGGCATCGGCCAGTTGGAATGAAACGGATACCCCGTAGAGCCATAAATTAAGGAAGATGAAATGGTAGACGGCGTTCTGGCTGCCTGGAGGGACCAGAAGGAGTAGTCAGAGGGTAGAACCAGCGCCGAGACAGGCGTCAGTCGTCGAGAAGAGAGAGTGAGCCGTTAACTGATATAGCTCTAGCAAAGGTTTGAATCTTGACATCCATCGCTATTCGCCATTGACAGGTGGTTGAATGGTCAATCAATGTCCAACTGGCGTTATGATGCGATGTGAGTGCAGGAAGTCAGCTCGTGACGTTGACCACACCCTACAACAACATCATCACCATCATCATCACCATCATCATCATCATCAACAACAACAACTACCAACTCCCAGCCACTACTCGGTGTATCACTTTCCCAGGCTTCTTCGGTCGATATGACTCTGCCTTTACGGCGTGATCTGCATTTCGAGTCATTCAATCTCGCTGTGATGACTCACCCCAGCCACATTGAAGACCATCAATAAAAAGGGCCGGCAACGAAGGCGAAGGCGCCCGTTGATATAGAACAGATTTTGAGATCAACAGCAAGAAGATACCAGACCCGTCATGCTTCATCTAGACGGCAGCACGCTCGAAGGCGGCGGCCAACTCGTGCGCATCGCTGCCGCCCTATCAGCTTTGACCGGGAAACCACTGAGTATCAGCCGCATACGCGCGAACCGAAGCGGCTCCAAGGGGCTGAAGGCCTCTCACTGTGCGGCCATAAAATTCTTGCTTGATGTCTGTGGAGGGACCGCGGTGGGGAACCAGGTTGGACATCATGAACTCTCCATCTACCCAAGGGGACAGAAGACCGGGAGGAGCAGTTTGCAGACCAAGCCGGAAGACAGCAATGCGAATTCAGACCTGAGAAAGTCGGCGGCGTCTTTACAGCAGCTATCACTTACTTCTCTGTACTCGTCACCGCGTGTCACAGTTAAATCAGAGTATGACATACGCCTATCAACACCGGGCTCGGTCTTCTTAATATTCCAAGCGCTCTATCCGTACCTTTTGTTTGCCGGCGCATGCACGCCGACAATAGAAGCCGATGCTGGCACTTCAGACACGGCACGGGAGCATCCAAAGGGAATACGGGTAAATATCACAGGCGGCACGCATGTGTCATTCTCCCCGTCGTACGATTATATATCCCAAGTGTTGATTCCAAATTTCGCGAAATTTGGGCTCCCTCCTTTATCTATGGAGCTGAAGAAACGCGGCTGGGCCACAGGCCAATGGGCAGAAGTAGGGGCAGTGTCGTTGGTTATTTCACCCTTATCGGCAAATGGGACGCCGCCTAGGTCTGACACCATATCATCACCGTCGCACGACAGTGGCAGAGCTCAGGCCGAAACACCCCCTGTAGTATTCCCGAGCATCGAGCTGGATGCGTTTGACAAAGGATTTATCACGCAAATAGATGTGACAATCCTCGCACCTGATACCCTTGCACAGAAGCTTCTAAAGGAACTTTCTGCAAAGTCGGCCAAGGGCCGCAACAGGGACAAGAAGTTGCAGAAGAAGGCAGTTCTTTGCCATGACCCATCCGGGGTCCGAAATCCGTATCGTGAGCAGGAAACTTCGGAGGACGGAGACGAGTACCTTAGTAACGCCGGAGAGCAAGCAGCGTGTATGGGTGATGCCTGTAACATGAAGCAAGGACCACCTCAAACGGCTCGAGAATTCATCCAGCTGGAAACTATCAGGACGTTATCCAGAGAGCTCAATCGTCAGGTCAACAGAGAACAAAGCGTGTTACCAGCCACACCAGAGATCGACGATGCAGAAGTCGATGAGATGCAGTCACATCGTATTAATATTGGTGACGTGGTTGTTAATCTGCATACATCAGAGGCAACGTCCCACTACTCACAGACCTATATCCTCCTAGTCGCCCACACATCGACGGGGTTCCGTCTGGGGAGAGACGCACTTTATTCGTCGTTCCACCATGGGCCAAGCAAGAGTGACTCCAAAACAGGGAAGAAGGCTAGGAAAGGGTCTGCTAGATCCAGTGCAGACAGTGGGAATATCCTGCTGAGAATGAAGGGCATGATCGATCAATGCGTGACAGACCTAATGGATGAATTCGAAAGCCATCCAGGAGACCAGGGGCAGGGCAGACGGATAATCATGCCGAAGAAGGCAGTTGATGTATATATGAGGGATCAGCTCGTTGTATTTGAAGCGCTTGGAAGATTGACCCATCCCGGCCCCCATCTATCGGCGGGCGGGGAGCAGCGGGACGAGGAGGGAGTTAGCCTTCATACTCGCACCGCAAAGTGGGTATGTGAACAGATACTTGGATGTCCATGATGGACCAGAGTGTTAGCGCTACTCCGTGGTCAAAATATATACTGGAGCGATGGCACTATCTTCTACCCGCCTCCCCTAGCGCATTGGGCTCGATAGTATCGATCATCACGAAGGAATCGACAGCATCTTCACTCATCCACTCAATCAATCTGAGAGCACATTCTATCTAAAACTAAATAGCGTCAACGATGGGATCCATCAGAACGCTTTAGGCCTTGTTTCACCTTGCCATAGTCGCGCAGCAATGAAGCCCTAAACGTGCCTAAAACATGCTTCATATATGATATTCTGCAGACTACGGAGTAAATCCATTACTTCTATTCAGAGTAAGGAGAAGCTCCCCATTCATATTATTATTCACACAGACCCAGCAAAGCTCAGCTGCAGCTAACAAACCGGACTAGTTAGTGGATAGGGTCAAGGGTGTGTCGAGCTGTCGGTTCAACGGTCGTCGTGGCGCTCTTAGCGATCTAAGCGAGGCGCAAAAAAAACAAGGCATCACCAAAGCTCAAGAAGGCGTCGAAGCGTCTGCCCTGCATGTTTATTATTCGTTTATTATTATTACGAAGCCAAATAATAATAATAATAAAAATCAGGGAATAGAGCAGTTTTGACTGGTATAGTTTTGCGTCGCCTCTCTCCATGATGATCAACCTTGTTCATGCACGCCAGCTACTGGCTGCTACCCACAATGGAGTAACCAGCTATGTATGGCATAAAGCGTCTCAGCCTTCGATAATAGACAACCGTTCAACGCCCTGGCACACCAGAGGAATATTGGTATATTGGGATGGGATAGGGTAGTCCAATCCTTGGAAGAAATATATGGTCAAGAGAAAGAGAAACGACACCAAGAAATTTTAAGCAGCCGCCTGAACGCCCAGTATGATGTCACGCAGCAGCACTCGCTGAAGATCTGGAGGCAGAAGAAAAAGAAAGAAGGGAAAAAGGCCCTTGTCCCTTGCGGAGATGCCACTCACAGGCTAGCATTTACCAGCGGAGAGGATTTTGGGTCCAGGATGAATCCAACTTACTCCATATGTCCATTTCACCAGACTATCAAGGCCGGGTTGCTAAGATTATAACTATCTCGGCGCTTTGATGATCGCAATACAGAGGGCATTGTGTCGAGGAAATTAACCAAGGCGAATAATCGCCAATAGATATGTTCCCCTAGCTAATCTTATACCAAATCCTTTACGTCATGAATATCAAGAACCTAAGCAGAGCGGGCTATGCCAAAATCAAGCCAACAGGGCCACCACGCAACGGACTAATAATTAGCGACAAGTTGCAGGGTCGAGAAGAGGCGTAGAACAAGTCTATACAAATACCAAGTCGAATAAGGCAGCAAAATAAAAAGCAGATAAAGAGGCGGCCATGTTAGAGCCAACGAACAGGCATAAAGCCAACGAGATAGCTGACGCTGGTGGCACTGCTCTTATTCTTTGTTTGAGCATACGAGAAAAACCTCCACTTTGGTCGGACTTTCAGCTTCTTTTTTTGCACTTGTTTGCATGTCGAAAAAGGCGAGAGGTCGAGATGTATCGATTTTGTATCAAGGAATCCCCTTTGCCACCCCCTGAAACCGCCGAACCCAAAATACGTTTTTGCCCTATATTTTCTTTTTCCTGGCCCTGCTTTCCAATCGAATTCAGTGTGTGTTGGGCTGGGTAAGTAAGTTGGGAGACTGGAGACTGTTGAGTAGTATTCAGAGGAAGACGGGAGGCCAAGCAGAGCGCCCGGCTCGTTTTTGCCTTGTGGTTGCTGGCCTCGTAATTGTAATTTAACAGAAGTCGAGTAATCATAATAACTAGATAGGCGGCGGGAGGTAAGATGAATGGAGGCAATAAGATGCAAGAAGGGGGTATGTTGCTATAATAAAAGACGGAGAAAAAGAACCGATATATAACAAAACAGTAAAAAACAATACAAAAAAAAAGGACGATTAATCCAGAACGATCAATGAAAAGAAAGGAGTTAAAGAGGAAAAAAACCAGAGAAATCCAATCTGCTAAAAAATGCAAAACACAATAGCCTCCAGATGCAGTTCAGCTCGGCATATAAACAGTCATACGGTATCGATGATAAGAAAGGTAAAAAAAAAAAGGGGGGGAGAAGCCAGCAGCAGTCCAATCCAGAGGTGAATAAAACATGTGGAAGAGACGCGGGCATCGAGAAGAAGAGATAGAAGCCAAAGGTAGGGGGTCCCTAGTCCAGAGGGCGGCCGCCTTGAAAGAGATGCGTGCGATGTCCAAATGTTGAAAGTGAAAGACCATTCACAGGACAGCAGGTTTGCTTTTTTTGTAAACACTTTCTTTTTTGGGATTTTTTTTATTATTTCTTTTCTTTTCTCTTTTTTCCTTTTCTTGGTCTTCTTTTTTGGTTGAATGGTTGCACCCAGGCATGTGTGTGTAAAGAGCGTGGTGGTTTGTTTGGTAGTTTTATGCGGAATCCAGTCCCAAAGTCAAGTGTCGTAGATGAATGCTTTTATTCCCCGGTTGATGTTCAAAAGGGAGACAGAGAGAAGCAAAAAAAGGGCAGAATTAGCTCTCATCATCCTCATTCTTCTCGTCCAGCCACGCCCGTCGGTAGGCTGGCTGAGAGCGGAATGCAGAGCCAAATGGAGATGGAGAAGCAGGACGGCGCAGGTTGGAGGCCTGTCAAGTATATGTTAGCTTTGCTATATCAAAAGAGCAAATCGCAATACAAGAACATACCACACAGGTAGCGCATTTGGCTCCGTCAATGTTGACACGACCACGGCATCCGCGGGGGTAGTTGACGCAGGAATACATGATTATCGGCGTAGGTCTCTTTCTTTTGAGAAGAGTAAACGGTCGTGTAATATCGAAGCCCTTCGCTTTTTGGTGGTGGTCGATGGTTTTGCGCAAAAGCCCGTCCTTCAATCAACCAGGGGGTGTTTTTTTTTCCCTTTTCTCTTTCTTTTCTTTCTTCCTCCGGCTGTTGATAAATAGACCCAGCTAGCAGGCGGAAGAGCGTCAAAGTATGCTATGCGGTATGCGAATCCAAGGAGCGAATTGAACAAGCAGGGTGCCCGGTAAGCGATTATAAGAGGATTGTATATAAGAAAAGTATTAAACAGCAATTGAGTGAAAGCAGAAGAAAGGAATGGCAACCAGCGAGACGACTGGAGAAGTAGAAGTAGTAGCAGGAAGCAGAAGCAGTCGGGGAAGAAGAAGAAGAAGAAGAAGAGGCGGCCGGAGCAAAGGGGGCAAGACGCAGGTATATAAAGGCAGAAGGGGGGCGGAGACACAGAGCAGCGCAGTAACTAGTTAGCAGTAACAGCAGCAGCAGCAGAGGGGAAAAAAAGCAAAGAGACGAAAAGAAAAGAAAAAGGGCCAAACAGTTCGGCTGTTTGAGACTTTTGCGAGAGCTTCTTCTTCGTCTTCGTCTCTATCTCTTTTCTGCTGCCTCCAAGGGGACTCTTTTTTGCTTTTGCTTTTCTTTGCTTTTGCGTTTCTCCTGGAGTCAAGGCGGGAATTGCAGTGGATCTCCAGCTCGAGGATCGTACATATAGTACTGAGTTATTGTCAGATGCTAAGATGGCCGCAGCAATATCGATGGCGATAGTAATAATATATATATATAATATGCACTATAGCCTCTACACGGAGTATGTAGGCGTATGAGTAACAGTGAGCAAGGGAAGAGTGTAGCGTAACCAGCTGTGCATCCAATATATGTCAGTTAAACTAGCAGCGGAAGGGGGGGGTGGTTGCAGAGGAGGCAAAAAAGGAGAGCATCCCCGGCCCTTTTTATCTCTTTCCCTGGCCCAGTCACGGCTTAGTACCGTCCGTGATGCTCTCTAAACATGCTTACATGCTGGCGGGCAGAGACAAAAAGCTTGCCCGGTGCTGTCGCTGGCTGGCTGCCATATCCTGCCTGTCACATTCCACCAATCTCTGCATTCCAACAAACCCCGTCTAGTTCCGTAGGATAAAGACGATATCCCTCCTTTTTTTTTCACACAGTCTGCGCTATGCCCAACCTGATACGGGACGGAGTACGCCCGGCATCACATTCGCAGGAGAAAGAAGAAAAAAAGGGGGTGGTGGATGTGGGATGTTGCTGTATAACTGAATGGTAATTTGAACATCGCCGTCACCATCACCAACCAGCCAGCCAACCCACTAGTTAGCCGGCCGTCACCAACAAGATAACTACTAATTAGTTTCACTGCTGGGCTGCAGCGGACGAAGAAGAGAAGACGGTGGAAGCGGAGGGAGGCAGCCGCTGACACCGCCCTTTGCACAGCCCTTTCACACCGTCTTTCTTACCCTACCTTTGATACTTCTCCATAGGATTTCAACCAGCAGCCAACGTCTCCCTCGCTTACATACACCCCACTTGCTCGCTCCAGAGTCACCTCCCCGCCCCATATATCAGCCACATGGATGCACTGCTGGCGATGTCAGGCATCAACAAGGTCCCGTCGTCCTCCTGAAACAGCCGGCGATTCCACCCAAACAGGTTTTTTGTGACGCCTGGGTCGAGTCTGCTGCCATCCTTAACGCTTCTCCGATATAGGCTCAGCAACTGTCCGGCCCTACCTTGTGAACCCGTCGCATATCCAGATCTATATCCTCCGTGCTCCTGATTCCTGGCGCTGTTACAGGCTCGTTGCATGCCAGGAAGTCGTCTGCTTCTTCGCCCGCTGTTCCGGCTCGAACGACTCAATGTCCGCCCGCCCTTTACTCACGGAAATTAATAGGTCTGGTCTCAATTTCAAGAAGTGGGATCAAAGTAAGATTACCCTGTTTTAATTGAAAAAAAAAAAAAAAGAAGGAAAGGAAAAAGAAAAGAGAAAACGGTCGACTGGGTCATCTTTTTTAACGGCGCTGGCGCTGGCCTGTCCCGATCTTCGCTCGCAATTGGACCGTCCTTTCGCTGTCATCAAATTAGCGTCGGGCCCGTCTGGCAAAGGAGCGAAGGCGTGAGAAAGGGAAAAGAAAAGTACGAGAAAACGGCGGATCCATCGGCAACAGGGTCCAGACTTGCGTCTTTCTCATCTTTCTGGAGCTTTCGATATCTGTTTTAGTTTGGTTCCCTTGGATAAGGCAGGTTAGACAAAAGGCAGTAAGCACACTAAAAAGGGAGTAATAAGGGGGGAGGAAGATCTCTTGCAAGATCTAGAAGTGTTCTTTGTTTATACCGAGGCCGACGGATGGCAAAGGCCAGCGAGGCTAGAACTGTTCCTCACATCTCCCTGGGCGTCCAAGGGGGCCTTTTTTTTTCGCCGCTTCTTCCTTCCTTCTTTTTTTTTCGTTTTGCTTCGCTTTGCCCTCAGCCCTGTTTTGCCTTGACGCCCATGCGGGTTCCGAGAACCAGTTTGCAGGTTATACATCTAACGCTGTCCTATATCTGGAACAGGGAACGTGTACACTTTCCTCTGCGCGTATACCTCGCTCTCTTAATACGATGATGCGCCTCACGAGGCACGCCGTAGCGCCAGCGGTAGTTGGAGATTGGGGTTTGCCAGACTCAAGAGTCGCTCTGGTTTCATGCTTTTTCTTTCCCTTTCGAGTCATTTCTTTGCCAACAATTCTTGTCCTTCCATCCCACATCCCCCTGGCAATTCGTGTCCCCCGGAAATAATAGTGTACGGTACCAAGCCTTGTCTTGACAAATGATGCCATTGCCATGTCATCAGCGCCGGATGAGAATAAAGGCACCGGTTCCCGGTCGTCGTCAGCATGGGGGGCGGCAGGATGCGTTGTTGGAATTGGTCAGGACTACCCAGAGCCAGGCCCAAGCAAAGAAGACAAACAGAAAATGTCTTTTTAAGCTTATTCATTTGGCTCAGCGATGCGCATCAACAGGACAGGGTACTTAGCGGTCGCTTTTGTTTTTCTTCATCCTCTTCTTTTCTTTTCTCATCTTCCACAATTCTGGCTGCAGCTGGATTATTAATAACTGTGACTTGCATGAGATTAGAATCATTCTCCCTGCATTTCCTCCGTCATTGTGCATAATATGCAAGTACGTAAGGAGAAATAAATATCAATATCCCAGCTGACACATGTACGTGGTTCTTCTATGTGCAGTTGCACTCCGTACGAAGCAACTCTTGGCTTCCGCCTTTTTGGGTCATCCCCCTCCTCCTCCCCATAATCCTTGGGTGGATTCAAGTTGAAAATGCAGGTTGGGCATCACCCCAAGCCACGATCAACGGCTTTTCTCTGAGGGGCTGTGTGCTGCAGCTCGTTCATCACCTTTCATTTTATTCTTCTTCTTCTTCTTCTTTTTTTTTTTTTTTTTAGGCCAAGTGCCGTGAGAAGTCCGTTTTTTCCACGGCGTATCAGCCTCGATGAATGAAAATAGGGGCAAGATAAAGAAGAGAGCGGGGTAGGGGGCAGTTAAATGACCCCTTTTTCAGTTGTCTTGTCCTCGTTCTTTGACGAAGGGAAATCATGTCTGCAAGGAAATAGCATCGTGAGTGATATACCAACCCAATTTTATCGGCAGAGAGGGGACGACGAACCGGGGAGAATCTCGAATGATGGTAAAGTTGCTCCGGAATCCTGTTAAACACGGAGTAACTATGCGCCTTGTGAAGAAAATGTGAAGCCTTCCACTACTCCGACCATGCTGAGGCTGGTCAGCCCCCAATGCATGATGCAGTCAGCCAAGACAGGAGTACAGCAAAGAGCCGTCAAGGGTATCACAGAATATACCCAACCAATCTCTCTTCACACGCACACTTTTTTCGCTTTTTGCTTTTCACGATATCGGCAAATACGCTGCGCCTGTACTATCCCGACTCTGATTCTCATCGCGTAATGGAACGAAATCCCGAGAATGACCATTAATGGAGCGGTTGGGCAGCAAACCTCCAGCACTATTGCGGACGGGAAAGCCGCAAGCTTGCTGCGAGGTTGCTTTCTTTCTTTTTTTTGCCCACCTTTTCCCTTTGCTTTCTAGCTACTTTGTTTGTTCTTTAGTTTCGATTCTTCTTTGGCTGCCTCTTCTCTAACGGAGAAGCTTAAATATAGAGACAAAGCTTCTGTGCCTGCTGTCCTTCCGCGTATTTCTTGTTGCCTGAAGAGCTGACTGGCCAGATGCACATGTCTCGTCTTTCCTGCTTGGTTGGTGGTTAACATCAGGAGTAGTATCCGTACGGAGTAAGCTATGGAGTATGGATCGGAGATTGTCTATAGCGTGTGTAAAAGAACTGAAGCAATAGTACTAGGCAGAGAATAGCGTTTGACTCCGTACTCTGGCCGCTGGGTAGAATGGGGCGCCTGGCATGTTGCAGGATGGGTCTTCCATTTCGCTTTCGTATACTCCGTACTAGTTTAACTAATCAGCTCTGCAGGCGAGGTGGGTTCACTTCCCTTGCAACAGTGTTTTGTGTTTTCATCGTGTAAAGGCGCTGTCTCATCCCTTGGACATCTCGCATAGTGGCTCAATGGCAACATCTCCGTCGTCTTGTCTGAAGTTGATGTTCGTCTCGTTTCCGGCTTCCCTTCCCCCCCTTTTCCTTGCTTGGTGCCGATGAGATCACGAGACGCCTTCGCCTGGCCGAAAGAGGAAAAAACCGACGACATCAACTTCGAGTATGTCGAAAGCCTCTGCTCACCACCCAACTGCCGGCCAACTGACGGCGCGAGGCACTTAACCGCAGTGGTGTGCAGATGGGGACGGGTAGCGGGAAGCGGAAGACGGGAGAAAGCGCGCAAGGCGAACAAAAAACAGGGGGCCAGGACGAGTTTTTCACGTCACTCTAACTACACAGCCTATCCCTGGAGGTCACCCGGCCAGCAAAGAACCTCGCGCGTTTTCGTACGAGACGAACCATATCAGCATGGACCTCGGGATGTTTTCTGCTGATATGAAGCGGCTCTACAGTCGTCCGCCTCTCGGCCACTCATGTAGGGAGGGGGTCTGGGACGATCCTATATGCGCTGTATTGGCTGATATACCCTCAAGTTTGGCCGTCATGGAGTCAGTCATGCGCATGCGCAAGGAGACCAAAACAGAAGAGGAGAGAAAATGTCCCTGCCAACTCGCTCTCACGATCTCCCTCCTCTTTTTCCTCCCCCCTTTTTTTGGGCGGGTCCGATCCGAGAATGTTCACAAAGCGAGAAACTACGCAAGTATGCGCCTTCTGTCCCATGAGCTTCAGAAGCCATGGACGGCACTTGCCATGCATTTGATACCCATCTTTGGTTGTTTATTTATTTACATCGTGATATTTACCTGCAGATGCAGAAGCTACGACTGTCTCCGTGCTTACTCTTTGAGTCTGCGAGATGTAAACATCCCAATCCAGGTGGAGGAAGAAAAAACGCAGTTTTTCTTCATGAAGCCCAAATATTGCAGCGCATAGTTTTTCTGTATATCCTTTTATCGAATACTCAGGTTTGCATTGGTTTAAAAAAACAAAGCATTAAAGCATTGGAATGATATCGCAGAGACCCGATACGAGACCATAAGCAATAATGGTTTCCAACAACTCAAGTGGAAATAAGAGAGTCCGGAGGTCAAAGTCTTCAGCTTCAGTGCAGAACCGCCGGCCGGCAATGTCAGAGGCTTTCGATTCTGAACTGGCGCAGCTACAAGCTTTGGCAGCGGCATCTCTAGCTATGCGGCGTCATGATAACCGGCCTTCTTCTAGCTTGTCAAGCTCCAAGAAGTGGTATGATCATTCGTCCAGCACGGACGGTAGCTATCACCAACAACCCCTTTCTCAACCCGGCGATATAAAAGATGAAAGTGAGAGTTACTGCCGTACAAGCGCCACCGAGTCGACTATACTTCCACGAATGTCCGAATCGTCCGGAGTCATGGAACAGAATAGGCCGAATATCTGCCCAGCGTCGCCGCGTCCATCCTCCTACAGGAGACTTCGGAAATCAAAATCCATGTTTACCACCTCCCACGAGTCTGAACGGTTGTGTCATGGATCTGGTAACAACCAGAGAACAAGTTCGGGAACAAGCCGTCTCTCCCGCCGTACCCTTCGAAGGTCCTTGTCCTTTTTTAGGGGAAGTAGCATATCAAAAGCCGATAAGGAAAACCATGCAACAGTCTCCACTTTACCAATTGAACTTGCTAGAGAACAATTCCAAAGGTCTATGGAAGAAAAGCGTGTAGCGAATGGATCAGAGTCAATTGTTACCCGCAGTTCTCGGCAAGTGCCAAAGCCTTTCAAAAAGTCCATGAGGTCAAACGGAACGAATGCTGGATCTACTACCCCCTCGAGATATGCATCTACTGGCACCCACTGTGGGCCTAAGGGCCGTCTGTTCTCGTTTTCAATTAAGAATAGCATTCGTCGGATTTTCGGGAGACGGCCATCAAGTAGCCGGGAAGAGTTACCAAAGCAGCATGGAGCCCACCACGATTTTGGCTCTTTTGACGTCGGATCTTCCGAGGGCTCTTACTTTGATGAATCTTCCGACTATGCTAAATACCAGGAACAGCTACTGTCGCAAAATGTAGCTAATACGGCCCCAAGTGTTCGATCCATGAAGAGCTGCTCGAGCATGGCCACCTCCAACTCGCGCGTTACAAGCTGGACGGACTCAACGGCTGGTAACACACTAACTATGAAACAGTTTCCTCCATTGACTCGGCAGGGCTTGGATATCATTCGTGAAGATAGTGATGTGTACACGCCTACTCCTTCTCCAGGCCGACACCGGCATGATGGGTACTCTATTTTCCGGCAACCCCTTGACAATACGGTTGACATTGATAGCCAACGGATGTTCTCTGCCCTCATGCGGAACATTGATGAGACTAAGAACAGAAGGAAAACTAACCAAGCTCCACTAACCAAGTCAAAGGCCAAGTCAAGCCATGATTCGTCTACGAATGGTTCTCCCCTGACTATTAGAGCAGTCAAGCAATCACCCAACACACCCTCCGCAAGGCAGTCGATGTCTGGCTCTAGGGCATCCCCGAGTTCCCGCAGCCTCTTCTCAGTGAGATCAAGCCGCACTGTTAAACTAACTCCACAGGAGATTGCTCGCAAAAATGAGATGGTTTCTAGAAAGCGATCTGACCAGACAATTCGCGGCTTGGGTCGTTTAGATCTATCAGGAACATCTATCTATGAAAACAAGCCCACGAGAGAATGGCAAAACGAGCAGTTAGAAATGCGGGATGACACCGGGAGCGTGATCATCAATATATCTCAAGAGGATGGAGATATTCCACCGTCACCAAGTGTTTATTCAAGGACAACAGAAGCGAGGTCCCCATACAGACTGAATGTTGACTCTTCAGACTCTGATGAGGAAGAACCTGGTACTGTTACAATTCTTGATAGCCAGCGTCTACCATACCCTCCCAGACGTAGCAGTCAGGCCGCGAGAGGAATCAGCAGCGACTGGAAAACATGGATGAACTCTCAAATGGATTTGATTGACGCTGCTGCCCGTTCGGCAAGCTTAGCAAACCCTACTTACGCTCTTCCTGGTCACTACCGAGAGGATACCCAAATTAATGGCCCAAGCCCGGAGGAGCTGAAGCGCGTTGTACTGGCTCGTCGCAAGCAGTCATCTCGCGGAGTACCAAGTCCCAGCAGCACCGCCGGCGGAAGATCTACCAATGGTGAACCCAGGGTAAACATAACAGAAGCCCTCTCTATACCAAACAATAATTTTTCACGCCCACTGCGCAGTTCGCCAAATGGCAATCTGTCAACATGCAGCACGGTAGTTCGAAAGCCATCTATAACGACCTCAGCAATTCGTCACCCGTGTACTCCGTTGATATGTGATAGTGAAATGACTCCATCCCCACTATCGGTCCGAGCCAGGAGTATGTCAAGGACACCAACAACTGCCACTGTTCCTCCTCTACAGTACAATAAAACACGGCCAACTGAAGATGGCGCTATCTTGGAGGACTCTTCGCTTATCAATAGCGGCCAGTCTTCTGAAGGCCAATCTGGGCCGTCAGTGTCCCCTATATGTCTGAATGATGGTAAAAGACTACTTCAAGAAATCCAGTTCAATTCCGTGCGCCCAAGGCGTGAGCAGACGAATGGTACCAAAGAAAACAAATGGGCTTCTGCTTCGTACCGCCAGAATGGCCGCCCGAATTATGCGTCAAAACTCAATGGCCTTCATAGTACTATTAGTACCAAGCGTATGGTGGACATATTTTTAAGTGAGCGAAGTCAGCCGCCCAGGGGCAGTGCAGATGATAGTGCTCCTGAGCCAGCATTTTTATGAAACTGAAGAAACCATCGGATTCTATTTTGCTTAGCTTACCCTGGGTTCCTTGAACATCCCTCTTGTTGTGTTGGAATAAAGATAGTGCATACAAGATAGCAGGAATTGCTATCTTTTTTAGGTGTAAGATTAAGTCCTGCATACCTCAATTAGTATATTTATCGGTCCTTCTTTTGTCCCTAAGTTGATAGTGGACGTAAATATATTCTGTAATGGTTGCATTTCATTTTATGACGACTAATGTAGGTAACTTTCGTGCATATCTGCTATTGAATATATGCAACCAGGAGCTATTAGCACGGAAATAGTAAATTTATGTCAGAGAAATGGCCATATATATATCTGCGATGGTAAACTTAGCAAAGATTATTCAAAATGACAAGATCCTAAGCTGAAAAGGGAAACATAATTATTCCATGAAGTATGCGAAGTATCCAGTAAGGAGGCCCAATTGACCAGCTAACAACAAAGGTCGAAATCAGTGCAGTTTAGTGTGTATTCATGCAATTCATTTTTTATGCTTTTATATCTCGATAAATATTCGAGTCAAGAACAGTAGTTTGCAGGGAAGCTTCCCCTGACACCACGTAGTTCTCCCTGCCACCAGTCATCTGTACTGTCAGTTTTCTTGATGACGCGGATCCGGTCGCCTTCCTTGAAGACGAGATCGCCAGCTCCTTGACCGCCAAAGTCGTAGAGTGCAGTGACAAACTGTATCTGGCTGGTAGAAGCTGACCGTGGTGGAGGTGGAGGTGGGGGTTTCTTCTTTGCGGCCGCAGCTGCAAGAGATGCTATTCCGCCCATCGAAGGGGGTGCGGCCTGTGTTGGTTTCGTACTGGTGGGTATGGGAGGAATATAATGGGGCGTGCTGTGGGGAGGTGTAGGAGCAGGAACAGGAGTAGGAGTAGGAGCAAGGTGATGGGCGCTATTATTATTATTATTTGGAGACTCGTGTGTTGGTTGTTCTGACGCAGACTGGGTGTCTAGCTGCGATGACGATGTATAGCGGCCGATTCGGGGACGGGAATCCAAGGATGAAGCAGAGGGTAAGCGAGAAAGCGAGTTAGGCGAAGTAGACGGCTTGCGCAACGTACCGCCGGCACCGATAACTGGACGACCGTTTGAAGAGGGGTGGTTCCCGTTCCTTTGGTCTCCAGATGTCCGTGGCTGGCGGGCTGTTTTACCGCCGGCAACACAATTGAAGCTTTCTATCTCACGTTGCACGCTGAGAAACCCATCTTCGAATGTCCGGATGATATCCTCCATTGGCGGCGGTGGAGATGGGAGCTGTTGCTCTTCACAGTATGTGTGAAGGACGGTATAGTAGAGAGCGAGCAATGTATTTTGAATCTCAATCTGTGCACCAAGAAGGTGAGGGAGGATAGAAAACGTGGCTGTTATTATCCCCGGAAGAACAGAGCGTAGATGGTCGTCTGCAGCGTTATAATCCTAGGGATATCAAGTTAGATACCAGCTTCGTTGCAGAGAAAGAGGGAGGACTGCTTACATCCGTAGCCTTGGATAGATCCGCCTCTGCCTTTGCCAGAGCGGCATTGTCTCTGTCAGAGCGCTTCGTCTTCTTCCTCGAGGAGTCTACTCGACCCTGGTATCTTTCAAAATCCAGCTATATAGACCAGTTGGTTAGCTCAACGCACACGATATCCTTGTAGACACTCCTCTCAACGCAGGCGTACCTTTTTATCCTCTCGTTTCTTGATCACTTTCTTAAGCGGCTGCAGATACTCTCTTGCGTCCATGGCTGGCCGAATAATCCGGTCATCAACCGCACTCACTTCGGCGACCAGGTCTGCCTTCAAAGAGTCATACTCCTCTCTCAATCGGACCACGCGGTGTAAGGTATGTTCGGGGACGACCGCAGGGGTATGGTCTGACGACGGCTCCGATGCGCCAACGATAGGGTTGTATAGCTGCTCGAACTCCTGGACGAGGCGAGCCTGGTAGGTGAAGATCGAAGACCACGCATCGCGCCATGCTTTGCTCGATTCGATGATCTAGTTCAGATGTTCATCAGATTCAGCTGCAAGAAAGACAGACGCCCGGTCAACCAGGATAGAGGTAGCAAGCAAAAGAAGATCATACCTTCTGGAGCAGCTTATCGGCATCGTCGAAGTCCTTGAGCAGAACAGAGACCTGGCTCTCGTCCGCCGAACGCTTCATGAACTTGCCAAACTGGCGATTGATGTTGAGCATGGTGGCGGTTCTTGCGAGATCACTAGCTAGTTAACGCAACTGAAAAAAGGGATCCAAAGGGTAGGCTTCAGGCTTCGTCCCGCCGTCCGCTGATGGTCTGCGGTCCAGTCTAGCTAACTAGTCAACTAGTTACCAGGCAGGCCAGCGAGATGGCACGAACCGAGTCTGGAACCCAGCTCTCCAGGGCGAAAAAAAGAGGTGACAGTGGAGGAGGAGACAAGGGAGAAAAATTTAGCTAACTCGTTAACTAGTTAATTAATCTCAAGCATGCGCACGGCGGGGTCTGGCATGGACGAAGAAAAGGGCTCCCGGGATGCAGAGCCACGCTGCGCTCCGCCATGTGTAGATAGATGGCTGTCCTCTGGCAGGGAGGAAAAGGAGAGAGAGAGTAAGTAAGTACGAGAAGAAGAAGAAGAAGAAGAAACCTGCTGCGTCACAGAGTCAAGGGCGAGCCCATCCCTGCTGTTTCATCAGCTCCAGCACCGCCCTCTGTGCGACTTGTTGGATCCCACTTTAACTAACTTATAGCTGCAGGAAAAAGGACTGTATAGACCGAGCGATTACGCGTTAATGAGCTAGTTAACTAGCTGCTAGTTGCTCTGCCTAAGCATACGCCAAGTGGTGGAGTGCCGTCGACATGGACTTGATAGCTAGGGGGCTGTCTTTCTGGAAGAGTATATTCTATCGTCTAGACTGCACAGAGTGCTTGCTATGTACATGCTTGCATTGATACACAGTTGAAGGGAATAAAAGCTCTGCTTTCCTCCTAACTAGCAGTTGAGGCCTTGTGGTCAAGAGCTGTCCAAGGTACAGTAGTTCTGTTAATTCCATGCAATCCGTGGCTCGCCTTCACCCGAAACCCTGCGCTGCCCAAGCATTCTGGCAGATTTCTCTAAAGTCGGCCCTTGTGATAACGATGTCCCCTTCGTTAACCTCGTTCCTCTGCCGGCCGACGACCTCCTCAAAGGTGAAAGTCATGTCACCAGTGACTTCGGTGGTATCCTCCTTGCGAGTTGCCATGACCTCCTCCTCGACAACAATGGGGGCAATTCGTCCGTCAGCCTCCCTTGTCCACTTACGGAAAACGATACAGCGGGCTTTCTGGTCGATTCTTGCGGTAACGATTACTCGGGTCTCTGATCCATCTGTCTCTAACCATCCCCTAGCATCCATGGATAGCTTTTCCCCCGCTTCCGACGGTCCAGTCTCGACGACTACCGACGGCCATTCTTGATGGAGTTGTCTGAGGCTACCGTCTGGCTCCTTGACGAATCTTCCGTTCTTGCTAGTGACTCGGCTGCTACGAGTATCGGCCAGCCTGTCTGGGAGGCCCATTTCTAATATCCCAACCCTGATGTAAAATATCAGATCGCTCGCGACGGATTCATGACCAGGATTTGACAGTGTTTTGAGAATTAATAGTCTTTCTGGTAGGTTGGCCGTAATTCGAGGTCCTTTATCGAGATACTCGGAATCGAAGTCTTCAAGGATAGTTGGAGGCACGTCTACCACCACGAGAAAGGGATCCTGAGTATCATCTTCATAACACTCCTCCACTGCTGCCCTGAGGTCCTTCATATTGGTATATCTGATCTGGCGTGTTCCTCCAGGAAGCCCGGTCAATAGCCTTGAACAGGCATCGCGTTGGGGTAGCGTTACCTCGTCTGAATAAGACATGGCGGGCCTGCCACATAGATATATATATAACAGAGTATGAACACATATAACAAGGTAACTAACTAGTAGTGGGTAAGTGTTGATCAAACGGAGCATATTTATACACAGCTCAAAGTTATGACATCAAAACTCAAAATACCCAATATTGAATACTCCATCATTCACACTCTATTACTGCGCCTAAAGAGGATTCAAGTGACTTCAAGCAGGATAACTGTATAGTGAATATATCAAGAATACTCTTAGTATTCTATATTTACCTTGCTAGGAGGTCACATCAAGCAGGAGACAAAAGCGAGTCCCTACGGTAAAGGACACCTACACGAAGTTTCCATAAAACGGCGAGAATATAAAGCGGACAGAGTACTCCGTAACCACAAATATAGAATCCAACTGTCGACGTATTCTCACACCTATCGAACTGATTCCTGCTCCCGTTCATGGCCCCCAAGCTAGGGACGGGGATCTAATTAGTTACTAGTTAACGGCCCCGAACTCTATCATAATTCTCCGTCCTGGGCCTTGTTTAGTGGGTATGAAGATTCAGGCTAGGTTGACGGCAAAGAACAGCCACGCAGACCATCTGCATCAGCTGAATATTCAGTCTTCGCATCGAAAAATAGCCAGAATCTCGCAGTTTTCACTCTTTAACAAGTCGTTGAAGTCGCAAATTTCCTTCTTTGGACTTGAATGACACTGCTTAGTAATAAGATGGTTATCGATAAGAAAAATCATGACTAAGCATAAATCACGCGTTGACGCGTTTTAACTCAAAGAGGAAAGTTTTGATGTCGAGGTAGCCTTTTTTTGCATTAAGAACAGTCAGAACAGAGACACCATCAAAGAGGAAGATTATCCAGGGGGACAGGATAAGGATATGAGGAGGCGGATGCACGAATATATAATTCCAGGCGTCGAGACTGAGCCATGGCTTCTCAGAGAATGAGCCTCTCGGTCCCGCCAACTCAGAATACCGCGCCGGTGATCAAATTCCAATGCCTCTTCACCCACGATATCAGGCGGAAAGCGAAAAGGTGGCAGGATGGATTTCTCCGGTTTCACACGTTCAACAAACGCGTTATGGTCTATGACCCCACCGGGAACCTAGTTGGGGACTTGCACTGGCGAGATCGTGATATGCTGCAGGATGGGGATGAATTCGAACTGGAGAGAGGTATCCTGGTCCAAGCTGGCGAGCAACTCGAGAGTACAGTTACCGATTTGACAGGGCTGCTGGAGAAACGGAAGTCATCCCCTGCTAAACCGAACCACTCTCAAGCCCGCCCAAGGAATGCCAATGTTGGACGGCCGAACGATTTCAAAGCTCCTTTTCCATCCAGCGGCTCGAGTATGAAGTCTTTAAACGAGGTGCTTGGGATTAAGAAGAGTACACAACCAACAAGAGTGATAAGGTCTCCCTATGAAGAACGGGAACGATTAAACAAAAGCATGTGTGAATCTGAGGAGAGACCGGCCAAAAAGCGGAAACCATCTCCAGAGTGTGACACGGAGGAGGCATCTCGACTGTCCCATTCACCGCCACCGCCGCCAACAAAGAGTCTTAAAACCCAATTAAGACCTAATGTGGAAGAACCGGTTACTAATAGCAAATCTCGCGATGCCTCCGGTGCTGAACCTCGTGTTCCAGGTGGGGTTACAGACCTATGCAATAAGATATCAAATGAAAACAACCGCCCTAGCTTTGCATCGGCCTCGACTGCATCATTCCGACCCGCAAGTGCAGTTGAGCCAGAGCCAATCTCTACAAAAGATCGCCGGAAAAAGTCCAGTGGTAAAGCGTCAGCAAAACAAATGTCTCTCACATCCATGTTTGGCAATGTCCCAACGACAACTCTTGAAGTTGCGCCCAGGCAACCTCGCAACCAACTTATCTTTGTGGACAAGCTTGCAGAACAACAAGCCAAAGCAAGAGAGAAAAGAAAACTCGCCGAAAATAATACAGTCATGAACTCAGAATCATCTAAGAGAGTAGATACCCTGAAATCTCCATCGGCCTTGAAGCCAAGGGATAAGAATATAACCTCATGCCAATCTGCAGCGCAATTGTCTAAAGATGGGAGTAATGATGGTGAGACCCCTCGTGTGCAACAAAAGGCAACGAGCTTACTGGGATTTTTCAAGCCAGCTGCGGTTACAACCCAAGAACAAGAGATTCAGCATGATGACAATGAGGCTACTGTAGTAGAGCCAAAGCCTTCTAGGCCTTTGCAGAATATGCAACGGAGTCTTTCAGCTACAGATTCCAAGCCTGTGGATACTACATGTTCAACCAAACCTCCGGTTCCGGAGGCGCCTGTCCCTCATATCGAACCCGGCGAACAGAATGCACAGCTAGAAAAGCATCGGCCCCTAGAGAGGTCAAACTCAGATTCGTCAGCCCTAAACCCACCACGACCTGTGCCCAAAAAGCGAGTTATCCAAACAAGGCTTTTTCCAGATCGGATGCTAAGCCTACCAGCAATGGATGAACCAGAGGTTGAAATTGAACAAGGGCCCTGGACATCTGAAGCACTAGATCTGTTCGACTGGTGGCCCCCAGATAGACCTAAGCCCACAATTGGAAGCATCCCTATATAAAACTTACATCTCTGTAGTTATTTTTGACTCAGACATGTATCTTATGACTAATGATAGAGTATATAATACCCCTCTTTAGACGTCTTCCTTCGATAGTATAGTATTCCTCCTTGTATTTTCTGGGAACTGTATCCAAGCATTATATAACTTTGCAAAACACAAAATTTAGACGTAGATATGACCCTTCATACTCGCTTGACTAGAGTTCCAGAGATATAAGGCAATGGCCCTGAAGTAAACGATAATTCTAGGTCAACGCTCCCCCAACCACCGTCAACATCAGCAACAGCTCGAAGAGTACGCTCTGTGTCTCTGTCCAAGTTGCATCCACCCATGAAAAAACTCCAGCCCGAAAGGCCATACATAGCCTGGACAAATCTTGCAACCCAGCTTCCTTTAGCTGTGGTCCAGGGATTCACAACATGTTCGCAAACCAGCATCTTCCCACCCGGTTTGAGCAAGTCATAAAGACCCTTTACCGTCTTTTCTGGCGCTGGAACCGAACACAATACTCGAACACAAACGATAGTATCAAAAAGACCTTTCCCCTCATTAGTCTCGTCATCGAGTGCGCCGGCCTTCTTCAATGCCGGAAGTAGAGACTCAGGCTGGGCTCCACAGTGCAGGACTCGGTATTTAGATGCTAGACCGCAAAATTCAACCTTGGCATAAAGGTCCTTATGCAGTCCTACGCATGGCTCTGCGCCATACATGACCCGTAAATTCGGGTTTGTGAAGAGCGGCGTCTGAGTGCCGGTTCCAGGACCGATGTCGAGAACAACCCCATCCGCATGCGCGAGAAGTGGTGGTATAAGAAGACTAGAGCCAGCGGGCTCTGGAGCAGGCGCATTTGGATCTCCGTTTGCTCTAGCAGTTGAGAAGTCGATCCAGAACCTTGAAAAGGCTTCATCTTCGATCTCTTGCATATTGAATATAGGTGCGAGTGGCTGGCCACGCAGGATAGTTTCCAGCATCACCGTCATAAAGCCTAGATGCATGGTCAATACACTGCGTAAGACGGGCCTTTTCATCACGTACGAGGGATTCAATCATGTTCTTCTACTTACTGTAGGCAGCTGAGACGCCTAGGTAGCCTGGCTCTGCAAGCTCATTTATACGCTCAACAAGAGTCGGCATGTTTGGTTGTCGGGAGCTCGTTATACCGGATATAAAGCTAGTCCAATAACCCAGATAAAGTGAAAGAAATGTGTCCAGGTGTGGATTGGAGATTATGAGGAAACAATCCTGGCTAAATAACCAACATAATGTTCGGGGTCCGTGGCCGCTTTTATATATGCACGGAAAGGGCAAGGTTTCGGGAACTCGGGTACTCCATACGTAGTTTGTCATCAGAGCCGACTATCTAGTTAACTAACCATTGGTTGACGACATCTTGAATTTGACAGCAGGATATGGCTTCTGCGACTTTGAAACCCGCAGAGGTCTTATACAGCCTCCTCTATACTTGGCTTGCACAGGGAACTACAGTCTACAGCAAAACGTCCACTTCTGCCGTGGCAAATAATTTCATTTAAATGCAAACTAGTGCATTGTTTTAACCCGTATCGCTGCGAAAACAAAGCACAAAAGCCAGAGAGTTTATTGATATTTGTTTAGTTAGGTACGTTTAGGATGGGAGAAGATAGAGAGATGTTTGAGACGAGTCGAAGAAGCCGGGAACGAAACAGACAGGACAGGGTAAAGATTAGTAGTTATAACAGTCCACCTTGCAAAGTGAAGGGAGGAGGGCATGCATAAGTAAATCAAAGAGAGAGCAAGCGGTCCAAGAAACAAGAACTTGGCCAATCTGACATAGGAAACAAGTGTAAATAAAACACAAAGAAAACTAATTGCCAAACAGCAACGAAACAAATTTGCAAAGCGAAAGAAGTATTCACAGCTGCGCAAAAAATAAAATAATAAAAAATAAAAGAATTTGGAGCAGGAAAAGGGTAATGGGCAGGGTAGCGGTGGCAGAACGATCGAACGAGAAATTGGTACATAATTGCGACGAGGAGGAGGGGGGGATTCCGCCATGTTCAAAGGTGGAGGTATAAGTATAAGCACCAAGGAGAGCAATGCTCGAACACCAGGCGCACAGTACACCATCCTGCAAAACAATTAGCGTAACAAGTCAAGAAAGGGTCAAGGCCAAGGTAGACCAAAACATAAATATGAAGGGAAGATAAGGAAGAAGTAAGCATGGCCAAGTATTACAAAGCTATTGTAGAGTGAAGATGCGGCATGATAGCCAGACACGTCATGAATGAAGACCAGTTAAGGAAATTCGTAAAAGGTGGACAATCACCAAGGGTTGGGACTTTTTGCTGCTTTTAGTACTCCACGTTCATGGAGAGATAGTAATAGGTATCATTTGCAGAAATTTTCTTTTCTATAAGCGTAGGTTGGGCGGACGGCCAACCTAGGAATGCGAGTGATTGCTCAGCCTTGAATTGACGAAGCGGCTGGTTCTTGAAAGGGAGCCAACATCATGTTTGCCTAGTGAAGGAGAAAGTTAGCACAAGTGAAAAAGGAAATGCCAAAAGGGGATGGAGATCAATATTACCGTCACAGCAAGCGCGGACATTCTCTATTTTATCAGCCTCTCTTTCCTGTCTTTCTAAGATACGTCTCAGATCTTCCGCGCTGTCCTCTTGGCTCGTATCGTCTACACTTCCCCGCTTGCCACCATACCGACTTCGGCGGCTGGAGAACGTTCCCATCATCCCGGAGGTTTTGAACATGCTGCTTAATCTCGACACGGAGCCTTGTCGGGCCTGTTCAGCCTTCATGGTAGTATCAGGGGGTCGGACCGAAAGAGATGGCGATTCATGGCCGGGGGTTATATCGTACCCACGGGCCATACCTCGGGCTGCTCTGCTGCTATGTGAAGCGGCAGACCGTCGGGAGTAGTCAGTCATGCGGGATGACCTGCCGTTTAAAGAAGGGTTGAAGTCAAGTGGGCCATCTTCTGGTGTGCTATGCAGAACAAAATCCCCTTCTTCTTCGTTTGCCCGCAAGAGGAGGTATGAAAGTGCGTTGAACCAAGTCTCATGGCGTTGGCTGGTGGCAGCAGTGAACCGCATGGTTCTACCGGGAGTAACGACTTCCAAGCTCTTGCGGTGAAGGCCTGGAGGATATGGGTTATCGTCAGTGACAACCCGGACAGCTTCAATGGCTACGCTTTTGGCCATCAACTGAGCTTTGCTGGCAGTCTGCGGGCTCTGGGTGCTCCAGTACAAAGTCCTGGTGAATGGATGGACCCAGAAGTATCGTCTATGTCTTGTCTGCGAGAAGTCTGGTCGGCCTGGCTTGCGAGTGTATTTCCAAAGGAACTCTCCAATCATGGTCTGCGTGATGGCTTGGATCATGCGAGGATCAGTGCCAGGTTCAAAGCCGTATTCCGACCTTGACAGATTGAACCGATCATCAAGCTCGGAGGCAAACGAAGAAATCGAAGACCGTCGGGAAGCTGCACCACTGTGCTTGTGCTGAGTTTTTGACCCATTGCTTCCTTGAACAGTGGCGGTTCCCATAGCTTGTTCGTTGGGTGTCCTTGGTCGGGATGCAGGAACTCCTGATCGATAGGCAGAGGCCGGAGCTACTGGAGGCCCCATGGTACCGGCACCACCTGTTGGGCTCTCAGTTGATAATCTTTGAGCGGCAGCAGCAATTGCTTGCTTGTGGTCTGGCGGAAGAGGCGGGTGGACCATAGCACTGCGTCGGCTTCCTGCGCTCCCAGGTCGTTTGGCGGCAGCGTTGGGAAGCAGGAAATTGTCGTTGGCCGATGACGGCTGTGTCTTGGCTCTAGGGGTAGCCAAGGCAGCTTCCTCTAATGAGCCAGGGAATGCAGGGACTGGTGCTCTCGACTCTGGCGTCTTTGGTGGTGGCATGACATATTTGTCTAGCAGGAGAGAATCGATCTGCTTGCTGGTCAAGATAGTCTGAGCTCCATTCTCTGTGACACTGGCAGGTGCAAATGAACGCAATGGTTGTTCAGACTTCATGGAACCGGTATCCTCCGTAACGAACTTGGGCGGCGGTATCATTTCGCGTGATGATTCCAAGGACGAAGGAACCTCTGTATCCTTATCATGGACAGCAGTTCTCGGTCTTCTTGGAGAAGTCTCTGTCTCTGAGCCTGTACCTAAAGCAACTACCGGTGGAACAACCGTAGGAGCGGGCTCTGGTACGACTGGCGTAGTAGACTCAGCATAGATCGACGACATCTCTAGCTGGATGGATGGCTTGACAACTTCAGGTTGAGTGGGAGGAGAAATTGGTGGTGTGTCGATGGTTTGAATAGAAGATGCCATGTATTTTGGAGGAGTGCAAGGAACAGGGAGAGCAGCCGGGATTGGAAGAGGAGTGACGGGACGGCATTGCTCAAATGTAACATCAGAAAAGGCGAGTTGCATTGAGCTTCGTCGCGGCTGTTCAACAACAGGTGCCAGAACAGGGGTCGTTTCTTCGAACACTATTGGTGAACGTTCCAGTTTGATGGGCTCTGGGGCCGGTTCTGGATTAGGAGACGACGAAGTTATAGGAAGAGGAACAGGCATTGGTGCGATAGTATCGCGGGATCTATCCTCCTCAGCGGGTGTGGCAACTGGAGGAGAATCGAACATGACCATCGCTTCGCTTTGTACCATGGCTTGAGGCTTTGCAGATGCATACTGAGTTGCCATGTCCACCGCGGTAAACTTTGAAGGTTCCGCCGGCGGTGTATCATGGATAACTACTGGCGCACTTTGAGCCATTGGTTGAGATTTGACAGGGGAGCATTGGGTTGCCATATCTACAGATTTGACAGGTTCTGAAGGAAGAGTGTTGAAGACAACCATTGCTTCAGTCTGGGTAATAGGATGTTTCGAATCAATAGACTGAGTTGAACTGTCGACGAGGACTGCAGATGTTGTGGAAGTTGTTGCATTAACGGTCTGAGGAGCAAGAGTCTGTGTGGCTACAGTTCCACTTGCGGGAGCAGGAGCAGGCCATGGCTCAGTCATCATGGAAGAGTCGACCATGGCTACACGAGGTGGCTGGTCGACATCTTTATTTTGCAAGAAGCTGAGATTGCGGATAGGGGTAGATTCAGATGAGACAGGATTATTGTTGGGTTGTTGCAGCGGGCTCCCGAATTCACCGTCACTGCCCATGCCGGCTTCACCAAGCTCTGCAAAGAGGCTTCGTCCGCCCTCAACTCTAGATTTGGGACTATGCAGGCTGCCGCCGGGAGATTGGGTTTCGTATCCCATACTTCCGCCCGCCTGGATCGTCTCCTCGGACGACCTTGCATGTCTGCCCCTTTGCATCTTCAAGCGGTAGCGAGGCGGATGGGATTGCACAGGCGTATGCACCTCATTGTAGGGGTAATCATCCTCATCAGCGGATGTGGATGCGGTGCTCATGAACGAAGAGCGATCGCCAGCCTTTGCATTTCTGAGTTTATATGGCTTTGTGCGAGGTAATGCAACCTGTCCAACTGCGCGGCCTTCCGTTTCTGTGAGCTCGTCGCTGCTGTCTCCCGCCATGTCCTCAGTGCCTGTCTGGAAATTCTCACTTTCAGTCGCTGTCTCGGTTTCATGCGCGGTCTCAAAGCCACCGTCTTCAGTTTCGTTTGCAGTCTGGTATGCATCACTTGCGCTTACGTAGCCAGAGCGAGGACGGGGCCGAGGACGGGTGTAGACGACTGATGTCTGCCTTGGTCGTACAGTCTTGGTAGGGCTGGGTTCCATGACCTCTTCATCCTCCCAGTCAGGCTCATCAAATTCAATTTCGGTGATACCTTTTCTACCGGCACCAAGCATATCTGGACGCGGGGGTTTCTTGAAGATCTCCGCCTTAGTCTTTTGGCGCTTCTGTGCGCTGCCTTGAGCCGCAGCTATTTCATTTCTGCGGGCTTCGAGGTCATCGCGGGCCTCTTGTAGCATGCGCTTGAGTTCAATCTTTTCAGACTTTTCACGGTGAATGTTGCTCTTGAGGTTCTGAATCATACGGTGGGCATGATGGAGAGAGCTCTTGAGTGTTTCGGACTCCAAGTGACCGTGACGTGGCGTGGCCTTGTTGGGCGACGGAGGAGGGGAGTTTTCAGGGGTATCTTCATCGTCATCATTGTCTTTAGTCTCCGTGTCGACATTCCTAGCAGGTTCGGACTCGTGCTGTCGAAGTTTGGCGGCTACAGCCTTTGCAAGCTCCTGGTTCTGCCCGACTAGTTCGTCAACCTTCTTTCGCAGATTATTACGTTCAGCATCTCCGGTGTTGAGGTTGCGTCGCAAGATGTGCAGTTCGGAATCATGAGCTTTTTGGGCTGCAGAGTGCTCCTCAATAAGCTTTCCGTTCGCCTGCTTGAGCTCGTCGAGCTCTCGCTGGACACTGTTCTTCTTCGCAGTCAGGGCATTTAAATTGGCAGTCAGCCTATTCTCGCGAGCAGCAGCTTCCTTGGCGGCAGCCATGAGTTCGTGGGACTGTGTCTCCAGTCGCCAGTTCTCATCTTTGTACCGTTGTTCGCTCTCATCTAGGGATCTGATGCGCTGGGAGAACCCTTCGGCTTCAAGCTCGAGCCTGGATTTTTCCAAATTCGTTTCGCGGAGAGCCTCATCCCGCTCGGCAAGGAGAGCCTGAAGCTGGCGGACTTGTGTGAGAAGTGAGGTGCTGATTTCGGTAGCGAACTCAATGTCATGGATGCGGCTAGCAGGCTGGTTGCGTTGTCTTCTAGACGGAACGCTTACTTTGGAGGGCGAATTGGTCGCTTGGCTTGACAAGAATGCCGGGCTTGAGGGAGTCTACTCCTGTGTTAGCAGGTACATTGACATAAAGCTATGTTATGTATGTGTGTGTGATGGCGATCTTACCCGACTATCGAGGGGCGTATCTTCAGGCGCGAGCAGCCTTGGCTTGGCACCAAAGGTCGTCCTGGCCGACTCACGTCCGACCTCATTGTAGTCTCTCTCCAAGGCGAGCAGCTTTTCACGTAACTCAGGCCCGATCTCACCGTCATCTTCCTGCTGCTCGACCTCTTTTAGCTTATCAGCGAGTTCCTGCTGCTGGCGGACGAGAGCAGTGCCAAGCTTGGACGTCTCCTCTAGCCTCCGGTCCGTTTCAGCGAGGTGAATTTCCAGTGCCCGTTTCAGCTGAGAAGGTGAAGACGAGTTCAGGGTCAGGAGCTGGTTATCGAAGGACGAGTAGCGATGCGGTTCCCGTTGTGACTGGACAGCGGCCAGGGGGGTTGCCACGAATGGGTCGTCCATAGCTGATTCGGGCCGCAATGGAAGATACAAGTCGTAGTCGATGGTGGGAGCGGTAAACGAGTGCGGGTGATATCGCTGCCTGCTTTCTCGTTCGCTTTCCTCTCTTTTTTTTCTTCTTCTTTAATAATCTTCCACGGCCGTCTTCTCTCCTCGGAATTCTCAGTATCTGCTACAGAGAATTCAGGCGTGCGACCTCATTATAGCCTGTCCGGAGCCCGATCCGCAATGCGCAAGGTGCCCCCCAACGGGAGTCGACGAGGGCTCTTTTTAGTCCTCAGGGACGAGCAGACATGCGATCCAGCGGGAGAATTACGGAGGGAAGAGGCAGGCGAGGGCTCTGGTCGCCTTTTAGTCGTGAGATGCAAGGGGGCTGGCAGGCTGGCTGGTCAGGCTTCTTGCTTGCGCTCTGGGGGAGCCAAGGTGTGACGTGGGTTTTTGTGTTGTTTTTCCCCCTTCGCTGGGAGATACGCGTATCCGGACGCAGGGAAAAGCCGCCAGTTTGAGACGGGGAAGCAGATATAACAAAAGAAAAACAGCAAGAGACAAGCAAAAGAAAAAGAAGACGAAGAAGAAGTAAGTGACAAAAGAGTGACTGAGATCGCGCGCTGCTTCGCCGGCCGTGAAGAGTCGCTGGCGTGCAGAAGCGAAGTCGACGTCGAAAGCGACGAAAAGAGAAAAAGCGCGAAGGTTTTGTTGATGCTGACTAAGGCCGGCCGATGGCTTGACGATCTACGAGATGGGCGAAAATCAGCGGCGGACGGGAAGGGCATGCAAGGGCTTGCTCTTGTTTCCTGCTCGCTTAGCACGATAATAATAGCAGTCCGAGGGCAATAGCTGCGGTGTTAAGCAGCTAACGATCAATGCAAGTCATAATATCTCGATTATAGTATATTAATCGCAAGCGTTTATTATTTTTGTTTCTTCCCGCGGCCAGGGTTAGGATTATGTAAGTAAATATTATGTAACAGCTTATTAAGTCATTGCTTATGTAATTGATTCTTTCTCTCTCTCTCTCGTAGCTTCTTTCTCTTCCGGCCTTGATAGATATGAGATATTAGTTATGATTATTCTGCTTTCACTTACGGCTTTCTCTGCTATCTGTACGGAGTGTAATAAGCTGTCTCTTTTTCCCGATACATCACGGCTTTAAGAGTCTTCTGCCTCATAGGATTAGCCTTTCTTCGTTGATAATCTCGATACCAGGTTTCGTCCATAAAGATAACACGAACAACGAATATTAAGACGAACAAACAAGCAAAGAGATAGCAGGTAAAGATACGATGGAACAATCAGTCGCTGAAGAACAGACACCAGCTGTCTCGTTCAAGAAACGGTCCGCCAAAGCAAAGTCCAGCCTGCGCAAAAAGGCTGCCACTCCTCCGCCAGCATCCGACTCAGAAGACTTCACATCCAGCGATGATGAGCAGGGTCACAGGATAAAGCGCAGGCGGAAGAATGCGGGTGTCAGCGCCTCATCCAAGACAGCAGCAGCTTCTGCGGGCCGGGAGCTGGACAGCGAAAAGCCAGAAACCACTGAGCGACCAACTCTCCCTACCACCAACGATGCTACCAAGCAGTCCAACTGGTACGACGAGGAACTAGACGAGAAGAATCTGCTAGGAAACACACGGCCACGACCAGGAGACGCAGGTCAGGCCGCGGCAGACGGCAAATACAGGGGAACGTCAAACTATCAGAGCTTCATCCAGAAGAACCCCAATGCACCCACGAAGCAGGTTGGGCCCATGAAAGCTGCCACCAACATACGCACCATCACGGTCACCGACTATGCTCCAGACGTTTGTAAGGACTATAAACGGACAGGATGTAAGTGATTTTCCTTTCTCCTGTTCTTTACACATGCTTTTCATTGTACATGCTGACAATAACCAGTCTGTGGCTTTGGTGATTCGTGCAAGTACCTCCACGCTCGTGAGGATTACAAGGCAGGATGGGAACTAGACCGAGACTGGGACGTGCAAACAGAGGGCAAAAAGCTAGAAGGTCAGACTGTGGCCTCTCGCAGAGGTGGAGAGGACGAGGCTGGTGACGATGAAGATGATGAGGAAGAGGAGGGAATTCCACCCGAATGCGCTATATGCCACAAGCCGTACACGAGCCCGATAGTCACGAAATGTGGGCATCATTTCTGCGAGCTATGCGCGCTAAAGAGATACCGGAAGAATCCGGACTGCGCCATATGTGGCTCCCCGACCGGAGGGCTATTCCGCGCCGCAAAGAAGCCGGGCATACGTGGCCAAAAGGTGGAAAGCTGAGCTGTTTTGTTTGACGCTAATGAGTTGACATATGATACCCGATGTAACAATGTTCATTTGCCCCCATAGCCCATCTCAAGAGCGATCTGTACATATAATCGTTGACATCATAGGTGGAAACCTGTCTATATATAAAGGCCCGTTTCTTTCGCTCTTCCTCGTCCTCTATTCTCTTCCTCTTTTCTCTCCCTTTCTCTGGTATAGAATGGATATTCCAGCGCTTCTTAGTTAAGCAGCCAACCAATGATGTGCTAGGATATTTTGGGCACAACGCGTCTGAATTGCTTGCTCCAACCAATAAGCTTCGTGTATTTTGTCGACAAGCGAACAACAGACGCGTCTTTCGACATCAACATTCAGATCAAGAGCGAGTCAACACCAAATGGACTACAGACGGGATTAAAATGCAGTCATAAACCAAGGCTACACTCCTCATTTGCGTCCTATGCCCATAGCCTTCGCTAATATGCCTTGGCCCACGTTCACTTCAACTAAGTACTAGATGCTTCCATGAGGTAACATACCAAGACCCTCGAGCACATTGTCTGCTGAATGCGACGGTGGCAGTGGCCATCTTCCAGGACAAGATACCCCCAGAATTCTATGTGACACGCAATCAATCACGTACATTGCCTCCGAAATTGCGCAACTGCTTCTGCATGATGACATGTCTGTCGAGGAGATACACTTACAACGACCATACCATGGTCAAGGAATGCTTAAAGTGGCAGAAACATGGATGAAGAAGGGCCGACGCGTCATGTGGCTGGACTTATGGCAAAGAGGCGGCATTTACAACTTACAACAGCTGCCGATTTCTGTGGTTTCCGCCACAGCGTTCCGATATTTGGACACAGGTAATGACAAGCCAGAAGAGATACTTGAAAAATGATAAAAGAATCCTCCTAGCACCCAGCAGTTTGCTGCCCCATGTCTATCGATCTATGGACTCCATAATTCTCTCCGTTTATTGGGGTGCCATCCAGATATTGGACCAAAGAAGAATCAGAAGGAACAGAAATCCAAACGGAAGGTGCTATCCCACGAGCCCGGGTTTATGGTCGTTATTGCCCAACGTACTCCCTATGATGCCGTCAGAAGGAGCGATGAGTCACGTCCGTTCCATGGTAGCTGGATGACCGCCACTGCATCGCTCCTACCTGGCTGAAAATATCATGGCTCGAACCGTTAGCCGTAGTTTTGCCCAAGGAAGGAGCCCCAAAGAGCAGTAGCAGCGGCAAATTACCAGTGAATAGAGGGTGCCACCGCCTCATGGCTACTTGCCTATAATGGTCAGTGAGTCATAAGTGGCATTTACTATGACGGCGTAAGGCAAACTGACCCCGAGGGGCGTACGTAATCGCCGAGAGAATCTGTCTACTTAAACCCCGTCCTTCTCCCTCTCTCCTTCCTCTCTTCTTCTTCTTTCTTTTTTTTTTTTTTTTCTCTTTCTCATCTATAGCCATCTATTCAGCCATCTTCTGCCAGCTATACCACTCATCTATACCACTCATCTATACCCATCTATACCCATCTACCGCTATCTGGTGCTATTTCTGCTATCTTTTTCATCTATACCCATCTATACTCATCTCCTGCCATCTCTGCCATCTCTTCCATTTCTGCTATTTCTGATATCTATACCCATCTCTGCCATTTCTGCTATCTATACCCATTTATTGCCATCTACTGCTATCTCTACCATCTCTGCTATCTCTACCATCTCTGCCATCTCTGCTATTTCTGCCATCTATACCGATTTCTGCTATTTCTGCCATCTCTGCTATCTTCTGCCATCTCTGCTATCTGCTATCTCTGCCATCTATACCCATTTATTGCCATCTACTGCTATCTCTATCATCTCTGCTATCTATGCTTATCTACTGATATTTACTGAAATCTATAAATATTTACAGCTATCTATTGTATTTTCTGCCATCTCTACCATTTATTGACATCTATAACCATCTATTGCCATCTACGCTATATTTTGCCATATGTTGCCATATATGTGATGACGGCCTCCGGGCCCCCCCTCCCCCTCCCCCTCCCATTCCCATTCCCATTCCCATTCCCCCTTTCAATCCCCCCTTTCCTTCTTCCCTATCCCTCTTGTGTTACAGGTTTGTCCGCTCTGAGAACCAAGGCTGACACTCGACTATCGCATGAACTATAGTTTCACATCCAGCTACGGATATGATACCCTCGAGCCTCCTTACAGTGAGTCTTCCATTACTACACCTGTTAAAAATACTAACAGCTACCGCCAGATATCTTTTGACGAAAAGGGCCAACGGGCCCCCCCGTAAGTGAAGTGAATCGACATACATGGGCCTGAAAGCCAACGCTAACATCCCTCTATTGCGATATCAACACATCTGCAACCGCTTGCTACGCCCATAGTCTAAGAGACTTTCACGTCGACCTCCCACTGTGAGTTCAGAGTTCCTCTACACCCTTATCAGGATGACCTGCATGCTGACTTATACAAAGACTCAGCGCTGCCGGACAAAGGCGGGGTGGCCGCTGCCCCCCTGTGAGTAGAAATATTCCCCCGTGGAGGCCAAAGCGCACTGCTAACATCCCTATATAACGCGGTATATGGCCAAAAACAATCCATCAACTCGAAAAAGCCTACAGATTAGCACATAACAAGGCCAGCCCGCCTTCACCCCTAGGTATGACATTCCCCGAACTCCTGCGGTTTAGACATTGTACAGGATATGCTAACAGCATATGATATACCTCTTGGTTGTCCAAACCAGAGAGCTGGTTTATATGTATCAACTACACTTAGTTGACTTTGACGGCAGTGGGATGGCTCAAGTGATACTCTAGAAGCTACAGGATATGAAAGCAATGTGATGCAGAATGGTTACTGGGACGAGAATGGTCTTGACCGGAAGAAGGAAGCTAGAGAGATTAGAAGTGGATGTAAGGACGGCCCTGTGGGCAACAGGCTCTTGGAAGCCTAAGTAGATAGTCTATCTGAGTGCCTGCATGTCGCTCGTCTGACGTGCTAAATTTATTTTTGTCTTTCTCCATTTCTTTATACCATGAACCTGTCTACGTCTATCAGTATTTTACCACCGTATATCTATACTTTCCAGGCCGGCTCTCACATGCACACGATAACTAGCGAAGTCATCGACAAGATCGAGTCCCAAGCGTGGTGGTCAAAATAAGATGGAAGCTGCATCAGGGAGACATCCTCGCCTGCCTGGATGCCATGTAGCTACTCTGTAGTCGACTACTTTTCAACGCCTGGATGAAACCACCACTTTATGACAACCGCGCCAGTCTCACTTCTATCGGATAGAGGGATACATCATCAGCTTGCGAAGACCAGCCATCCTATCCTGCCTTTATCTCGGTGTTTTTGGGCCTTCGAGTGAGCTGAACAGCCATGCCAGCCGCAGAGACAAAATCGAGGCTATCGGCCACTATAAACACGGCTTCAGCAGCAAAATCTATTATTCTGACAGCCTGCGACGTGGTCATCCGAAGGCTCATCGGTTAAACGACTTCGATTCCAGTGGCCAAAAGCCTGGCGGTTTCAGATCTCGAAGACTACGGAGTGCTTCGAGAGGTCTTGTCCTCTGCTCCTCTGCTTCTCTGTCGTCCCATCTCGACGGTCCAAGGCCCAACACTCCCCCACAACCACTCCGCCAGACGAGCGTTTGATATACAGCTCGACGGCCCTTAGAAAATGTAGGAATAACTAAAGGATTTAAGGTTCGGCTCCAGCGGCTTGGACAGTTGCTTGTTTTTCTCTCATTTTGTTTGCTTCTTCTGTGGCTTATAATGCCTGACTCTGCTCGTTATGTCACTGACAGCGATATAGGACGACCGCATGGCTATAATATATATATAGCCAGCGCTCATTATATACACTGGCCCACCTGAGCAGGCCGTCTCCCACACATGGCTGCGTTCCCGCGCGCCCTTTGGCTCGAGGGCTGGTTGGTCAGGGGACAGGGAATCAGGGGCCAGAGGCAACAGCTGTGAGACGGGACTGCGACTCCATCAAGATGGAGCAATATGGAGCTGGCACCGATCCCTCAGCCACTAATTTCACTCTTAGTTAAGGTGGTTACGGAGTACTCTGGCCCCCTTTTACCAGCCCAGAAGACTAACCTCTCTGCTCTAGTTACGTCGACGATGTCATGGGCTGACGAGGCGCGACCGTTCGCTGCTGTGGAGAGACAGAGACGCAGTCGAGGGGGGAGTAGCGTAAAATAATATGCACCTCCCCTTCTCCAAGCCAACATCTCTCTCGATCCTCCCTTACCGTCGGTCGGACAGCTGTGGGAGGCCCTCCTGATGGCTGCGGCAGATGTCTTTCTTTGTCCCCTCGCCCTGCCCGTCTCGATAACGACATCTTTTTCATCATGACGCCGGCCGAGCTGCGGTGATCTCGTTGTACATCTCTCCCCTTGGCCTCGTCAGCTCTCATTCTCTTCCCGTTTCTTCTTATTGTTTTTTTTATTATTCTTCCCGTCTTCTTTGCTTCTCTGTTTCTTTTCGCTTCTCGATTTTCTTCCCTTATCTGCATCTTTTCCTCTCGTTTCGTTTGCGCTGATTCACAATGACGAAATGCCGGCTCCGTCATTTCATCATCCTTACGGGATCTGTGCTGGCCTGCATATGGTACTTCCTCGGTGGTGAATTCCGAGCCATTGCGGACCAGTACAACGTCCGAGACTACCTCAGAGCCTCGCTAGACCCGAGCAGACAGCCCGTCAGGCCGTCCAATGCCACTGCTGTCGGCGACAAGGCCATCGTTATGGCTGCCCTGGAGGAGGAAGACACTCACTGGGTCGAGGAATACCTCCCGGAGTACGCAGGCCCCTGGCTATCTATCTTTCCAGGTTTAACACCGATGTGCTAAAGTATATCTACAGCTGGCAGCGGGCGATCTACACCGTCAACCCATCCCCGGAAACCCGACGAGACCCCAAACGTCTTACGACACCCGCAAACAAAGGTCATGAAGCAATGGCATACCTCACCTACGTTATAGAACACTATGATTCTCTACCTTCCATCGTCGCCTTCGTACACTCTCACCGCAATGGCTTCTTCAGGGCCTGGCACGTCGATGCTCCGCTGCACGATAATGCCATAGCGATGCAGTCGCTGCAGACAGACTATATCAGGGAGAACGGCTATGCCAACCTTCGATGTATGCGGAACTTGGGTTGCACGTCACCTGGCAGACACCCGCTTCTTACACCTGAAGTATGGGGCGAACTGTTCAACGGGACAGCGCAGGGGAAAGCTGCTGCTGCCACTGCTGCTTATGCTTCTGCTTCAGCTGATGCCAACGGAGATACTAAAGGTGCTCGAGCTGTCATACCAGTGCCGGATGTGGTGATGGTTGCATGTTGTGCACAGTTTGCTGTCTCAAGGGACCAGATTCGACTACGGCCGTTGGAAGATTACATACACTTCCGGCAGTGGCTGTTTGATACCTCGCTCAACGACGCCACTAGCGGCCGTATATTCGAGTATTTATGGCATATAATCTTCGGCAAGGATGCTATCTAGTATGTACCCCTGTCCTGTTCCTTACTGTAGTACGGTCGTCGCACTACTTACTAACGATATATTTATATATAGCTGCCCCGAGGAAGATACCTGCTACTGCAAGGTCTATGGCCGCTGCTAGTGCCACCTTTACCTTTCTTCTATTTTACCGTCCTCGCATTTTTGCATATATAAACCGGGCTCCCTTTACGTCTTGTATAAAGGTCAGGGTAAAAAAGCTTATAGAATTTTGTTTGTTAAAAAGCGCTAGTGTATATACCCCCTGCTTTTTTGATGGCGCTTTTGTTATATTGTACATGCATGTGGTTTTATTTTTATTTTTATTTTTTTCTGTTATTACTCGTTATATAGAAATAGATATCAGTCTGCACCCTGCTCGAGACCAAATCTAACAAATTTCATCTCGTTGGAACTCCCGAATTTTCTGTCTGAGGTCTTTTTCGTCGGCTTTAGCATTGACAGGAATTGCTATGAAGCCTTGGTTGGGTTCCTTTGAACGACTAAGATTAGCCCTGCTCGAGAACATTCCCCTCATGGACGGGAGTAACACTAATACTTACATATAAGTCTCCCCTAAGTGCATTTCATCACCTTTTAATATTAGATTTCTGACCTTCTTTTAATAGTTGTAGTTATTGCTAGCTCCATCTTTGTTTTCCTCTCCGTTAGGCTCAGGGGGGTTTGGGCAGAACACCCCGTAGTAGTAGACCAAGTAGTAGGCCCAGTAGTAGATTCAGAATCAGATATAACGTTTGTCAACACACAGATTCACGCTCGTTCTTAATCCACCCCTCCTGCTCGAGCTCAATTGCCGTCATCTGCAGGTTGTTATGGATCAGTGCGTCCGAGAATCGCGGATCCGTGCTGTCACGAACGTTGAGCTTTATAAGCCCAGGGATCGTGGCATAGGTCCGCATAACTCTGGCAGCTTTGAGGAACCGAGAATCCTTCATTTTCGGTGCCCCGTCCGCTGATATGCCGGCATTCCTGAGTCTCCATTTCTCATACCGCTTTGATCGAAATATCGTGGATCCGTACTGTCGCGAACATTCAGCTTTATGAGCCCGGGGATCGTGGCATAGATCCGCATGACTCTTGCTGCATAGGATGAGCGAAGGTCCTAGTTTTGACAGCATACCATATGTGGGACTTGATTTAGCATATAGACGCTCAAGAGCGAACTTAGGGATAGAGGCTTCAGTGATAGGTTGTTATCTACCGCAGCCTTGGTGTCTTTAACTAGGTCCGAGAAGTACTTATGCATGCTATGCTTGTTGACTATTCGTTCCTCGACCTTGACGTTGGTTAGCAGCCTGTATATATGCACAGGCTCGTTCTCCTGGTCACAACGATGAACTCTAGCAAACGCTTGTTCTTCGTTTGCTTGTAGCCAGTCAGGTTCGAG